ACCCTTCAGTGTATTTCAGTTCTAAGGGCGAAGACCCATGGCCTGGCAGAGGCAGGAGGGGGCCGGCCGCGCGGAGAGGAGGCTCGAGGTGGGGGCCGGGTACTGGGCCCGGGGTGACTCAGAGGGTTTCACCCTCGGGCATCTCTGTCTTCGGGGCGGCTCCGAGCCGCGTGTGACTCTGTCTTCCGCTCGGCGCTGTCTGCAGGGCGGGTCCCAGGAGACACAGGAGGGCCCCGAGCCGCACGGTGGCGGGGCTTGAGGTGGCACCGGCGTCCTTCTGTCCTTGGCTGGGTGTGGCACTTGCTCTTTTCCAGTGGACTCTGCACAAACAGGGGAGAACTTTCCAGGTCAAAACGTCCTTGCCATCTACAGCAGGAGCAGCACAGAGCAGGAGGTGCGGGCAGAGCAGAGCACGCGCTCCGCCCGGGGACACATGGCCGATGACTCGGGGCCGAGGGTGTCGTGGTCACTGGGTCCAGCGATGCCTCCTCGGTAGGCCCGATCCACCCGGCCGGCTCGCCGAGGGGTGAGGCTCGGCCGTCGGGTTTGCTTCGCTCCATAGCCTGAGCAGATGGGCACAGAGGCCGACACCGTGGGGGGCGGTCAGGCTTGCCTCGCCTGTGCCGCCGTCACCCCCACGGGCCCGTGGGCTCGTGCTGGCCGAGCGCGGGAGGAAGCCCGTGGCAAGCAGCCTCCGGCCAGAACGCCAGCTCGAAGCCTGTGGGCCCACAAGCCTCGCCAGCCTGTGGGCCCACCCGGAGGCGTGGATAGACACTTGAGGTTGAGATTTGGGGTAACACCAGCGGCTGAAGCGTAAGTGAAGTGATTCTCATTGGGTCACGAACAGGGGGAGTTTTGTTACTTTCTAGTGCTCCGTGCTGGGAGGCAGCACAGCCCCTGGAGCCTAGGAGGTCGTCACCTCGTAACCACCGCCGTCGTGTTGATGGCTCTTCTCACGGCGGGTCCTGGAAGACAGACCCGGGCTTGGCAAATTGGGAGGGCGAAGATCCCGGCTCTCTTGGTAGGTGGGGAAGAGCAATGGCCGTGAAATGACGCCATCTGATGGCCACCAAGGCCCGCCCAGGGGTGCTGGACAGCTCTCTTGGGCCCCCGGCCGCGCCCCCGGCCAGCTTGCTGCGGCGCTGGGTTTCCAGTACGCGCAACCTCGCCTGGTGCTTGTAGACGCCCCGGACTTTGGCCGGTACCAGCATCAGACCACCTCGGGCCAGCTGAGCCCGCTCAGCTGTTCTTACCTTTGTTACCTCATCTCTAATAATGAGCATCTGCGGCTCTCTCTTGATTGAGGTTTAGAAACGCCAAGCGGTGGGGCCTCCCAGGTGGCGCAGTGGTTGAGCGCTGGGCTGTGAAGCTGCCCGCAGCCTCCGCGGCGCCGGTTCGATCCCCGGCTGCTCCCTGGCCACCGGCGGAGGGTCCCACAGGGCGTGCAGACCTCTCCTGCCGCCGAAGCGCCGGTTCGATCCCCGGCTGCTCCCCGGCCACCAGAGGAGGGTCCTGCAGGGCGCGCAGACCTCTCCTGCCGCCCGCTGCTCCCCTCGGCAGTGTACTTCGGTCCTTCTGCCTGCTCTGCTCCCCGCTCTGGCTCTGGTGAATTCTCTCACCCTCCCGCGCTTCTGACTGTACCCAGTGCTTGTATAAATAAACAAATAAAAATAAATCTTTAAAAAAAAGAAATGCTAAGCGTTGACACATCATCCCTCTCCTCTCCCACTTTGAAGAACTGATTTTCTTCTGTTCGCCTAGGATGTTATTAGTCACTTTTCTACTTGTTCCAATTATATTTGTGCCTTAAGCTGCAGCCTCAATGCTCCCTGTCACGAAGCCTGTCTGGTCTTTGCTTCTGAAGTGATCGAGTTGCTCTGACTCTTCTGAGCTTCCTCTCTACCTCAAGGGCATGTTTACACTCTTCCTTACACACCTTCCCATGATGAAATTTTTTTTAAAGATTTATTTATGCATACAAGAGCTGGGGTACAGGCCAGAGGTGTGGGGGGTGAGAGGATTCACCAGAGACAGAGTGGGGAGCAGAACAGGCAGACGAACCGAAGACACTGCTGAGGGGAGCAGCGGGCGAGTCAGGAGGGGTCTGCCTCGCCATGTGGGTAGCTCCCTGGCTGGCCAGGGACTGAACTCACGCCGCAGAGGTTGCAGATAGCTTCGTAGGTTGCGTCTTACCCCCTTGCACCACCAGGGAGGGCCCCCGCCCCATGATGAAATTTTAAGCTAAAGGACAAGACCCCAATTTCTTGGCCCGCTTTCTGCCCATCCTCACCCCAAGTATATAGTAGCAAGCAATAAAATACTTTTTGAATAAATACATTAGTCATTGATGTTTTAGAAGGTGAAAACTAGTCAGAAATGAACACTATGCATTTTAAGACAAGAGATTTGTATTAATGAAAACTTGACACGTGATTTATTGCATTAAAAAACTTTATTTCATTTAAAAGTCCAATATAAGCCAAATTAAACCCCAAATTAACAGCTCTACTTAGACATCTCCTGAACTAAATGGCACGGTTTGAGTTGAATGTCTTGTTTGCTAAAGGAGGTCATTTGCTATCACCACCGTTTCTCCCAACATAGTTCTCGCGCAGAAGCTGGTATAATACACGCCAGATACTGCAGGTGTCCTCTTTCATGCAGAGGTTAAAAAAGCAAACAGACTTTCTATTCTGTGTGAGAATAAAAACCACTACAGAGCAAGGCCTGATGCTTTGGACATACAAGGTGTAACTATAAAGGACTTAACTCCACGTACCTCCTCCAGCACTACTAGCGCTGTTCCCATCCTATTTGGGACAGTCCTTTGGGATTTTGCCTCATTAGGTACAAACCTGAAGTGCTGGCTCAAAGTGGGGGCCATCACAAAGCAATGAAACAGTTTTCCTGCTGGACGGGCAATCGGGGGGAAAAAACACCGCCTTACAAATATTTTCAGAAATAGCATCATTTGCATAAAGTGCTGGCTATGTAATTTCTGGCATGTATCGGGACAAATCGAAAACAGCCTATCACTTTATAGTTACACCTCGGATTTCACCAGATGTGGCAGATCTAACTGTGTCTGAATGAGTCCTTCTGGAAATCACTTCAGCAGACGCGGCAAACAGCCTGTAAAGAGAAGGCATGGCAGGGGGTGCGAGGGTCATCCTTCCAACGTTCTCTGTGTTGTCTTGGAGGACAGAACCGGCCCAAGGACAGAAGTTATCGAGAAGGAAGCTTCCACGCCAGCTAAGGAAGACCTTTCTAACAGAGCTGCTCAACTGAATGGACTGCTTGGTGAGGTAGAGTCACTGGAAGTGTTCAAGGTGGAAAGGTCACCCTTGTAGAAGGGACTCCTGCATTTGTTAAGGTTAGACTGGATGAACCTCAGGTCTCTTTCAATTCTGAGATTCTAGAAAATTCCCTCAGGGAATTCAGAAGAGAATTCCTAAAAGGAAAGAGAAAGCACACATATGTATACTTTTAGAATCCTCTTTTGAGTTTTTTTTTTTTTTTTTTCAAAAGGTACAATAGAAAATGTAGTCCGCGGTCTGTAAAATGCATACTCCCTTCCGCCTCCTACTAATTAGGAAGGGGCACTATGACTTCTTTATATCATAAAGAGATGGAGTGTTAACATTTATAATTTCTGTAAATATTTTAGAAAAAATGCTCAAAATCTAGTAGTCAATGCCCTAGAAACTTTATAGATTTTTTTTTTAGGTGATAAGCACAGATACAAATACATTATTCATTAAATACAACTCACATCTGTGTTTTATTATACTCTAAAATATACAGGAATCTTGATGTACTGAAAGAGTGCAAGTAAATACAGTTTTCAAGCAGTCACTATTTCTATGTACATGCTCATTAATTCTTCAAAAAAAACCCCACAAAATTATCAAATTGATCAAAATACTGTTCTGTGTTTTCACACTTTATATTCAGAAAAACCAGCTGATAATTTACAATGTCATAAAGTTTCCAGTTTCACAATACAAAAAAGGATAAAATGAAATTGGGTGTTTTGTGAAAATTAATGGAACTTTACTCAGACCTGTAAGACCCGACCCCCTACACAGGTGCAATCATTCTCACTGGGAGAGTGACAGTTACAGTAAAAGCAGACCCATACCGTTATTTAGAAACCCCTAGCCAGCAGCCTCTTCTGCTATGTGCAAGGCAACCTTCCCATCCCGCAGGCAATTGTTTTTCTTCCCAAAAGCAACACGTTCCATATATGCTACTTAAATGTGACTAGGGCCTAAAGGCTTAGTATAGTAAATCCTGCCCGGAATACAGAAATGCCTTCCAAGAGCTCTGATGATGTTAACTTAGGACTAACAAGGGATTTTTTCTTTGTGATTTTTCACTGAAAAAACGACAACCTCCAATCCATCGTGGAGGCGCAAAAGTAACCTAAGTGACAAAGGTTTGCCCCAAAGCGGTGAGGCTGGAAATGCCATTCCCCAGGACCAGTTAGCTGCGACAGGGTGAAAACAGCCTACTTTTTTTTTTTTTTTTATCTCATTAAATTTTCTTCTAGGAAATTCTTTACAATTCCCAACAAAAATAGTTTAATTTTAAACCTAAACCATTCAAAACTGGGCAACAATAGCCCAACCCCAACCTAGCTCATGTCTACACCACCAGTATTTTCACCCTGACTGCACCCAGTCAACTGGTATTGATTCTAATATTATAAAAATTGGAATTTTTAAATTTTTATGTAAAAGAAAAAAATGTAAAAATACGTCTGCTTTCTCTCAGGGTTTAATACAGTATTAGAAGGCTTTCAGATGTTTTCTTTAAAAAAATCATTTAAAACCAAATCTCCGCTTCATTGTCAAATATTTCAGTTTGGTTTCAATAATGTCTTATTTCATCTACTCCAGTTTCCACAAAATGGCATTCTATAAAAACCTCTTAAGTCATTTGGTCCTTTGGCAATTTGCTGCACACATAATGCCTACTGTACCAAACTTTTATTGCCCTTAAATTTAGTTGGAGTTTTATTGATAAAATTCAAATCTAGTGTCCTTATCTCTTTACAATAATAGTGTTGCTTGTGTAAGCAGATTAGGGTGCACAGTGTCCCAAATTATTCCTGGCACTGCAAAATCAAACAATTCTACAAAGCAATTTGACATCAAAGTGTTTTCCTCTGGTCAAGTCTATTTCAAGATTCTAGAAGTTCCTTTTGCAAAACTTGCCTTTAAAATGCTTCTTCTTAATGTCATCACTTTTATATTCCTCACTCTTGTGATCTTTCTTCTTAGGCTGAATCTGTGCGTCACTAAGAAAGCGCCTTCCTCCTGAAACAGCCCCGTGTGAGGCCTCACGTCAGCTCGCCCCGCGCAGGCCGGGCCCCGCCTCAGTAGGTCTCGGAGTCGGAGTCATTCAACTCGTCCACATCGGTGTACAGGTAGTCCTGCTCCCCGCCGATGTTGTTGAAGCTGCAGTAGGAGCTGGGTTCACTCCTCATGATGGGCAGGGCTTCAAAGCTGACTGTTTTTGAGGTGTTCGTGTAGCGGTTAATGGCATTGAATGTCAGGGATGATAAAGGGCTGCTCGAGGAGACAGGCATCATGGTGGCCAGGATGAGAGCGAGGCAATCAGCTACGTCCTTATTGGGTGCACAGGCCAGAGCTGGGGTGTAGCCTGGAATCAAAGACAAAATTAAAAAAATGAACGTCCCAAACTCATTTCACAAATAAAAGGCTTTCAACGTGAGACATACTTTAAATTACTTGGCTCCTAATAAATTGATTTAATTTGAATGTTTCCAGTAAGTAGGAAAAAAGTCACAGGATGTGGGGGGAAAGGAGACCTCACAGACTATATTACAGAAGAGGAAACAGAGGCCCGGAACTGGATGATTTCCCCAAGAGCTCGTGACTGACGGGTAAGCCAGGCCAACATGAACACCGTCTGAACTCAGAGCGGACACAGGACGAGACGAAGGGGATAAAAGCTGGCCAGTCTCCCTTCAAATGGCGAAGAGAGACTTAGCACTTTTCTGTGGTTCTAATACATGCTGAGGAATCTAAACATGTAGATTCATGAATGAGTCATGAGAAGGTGCTCAGAAGACGTAGGCTGCCTGATACCTGGGTATCCATTAACTTTTCTTTTAGGATCACAGTCCACTGAAGAAGAAACAGAGTAGGTGGGTGAACTTTAAAATACCCAAGTCAAAATAAATGTTTCCTTTGCAGCTGTTCCTTTAAGCCGAAGACGAAGGCATCATAAAGTACCAGCACAGCAAACTGAGGAAAGAAACACCTTGGTGCCTCTGGTAAGGACCAGTCTTGAGGACAGAATGGGAAAGATGGGCAGATGCACCATGTGCTGTCAAGTTCAGGCTATACCGCACAAACTTTAAAAAAAATAGGTGACGCATTCTGTTTTAATCCATGTGGAGCCAAAAGGTATTTAGCAGCAAATGTCTTAAAGTTTTAGCCCCCAGTTTCATTTGTTGTTGCGCATCTAAGTATGGCTTTCCTCCAGTGCTGTATTTACTCATGGTTTGGTCTATACACACACACGTACATGTACATTTTAAAAAAGTCAGATTTTCTTAAAGCAGCTGACTGATTTATCTCAAAACAAGCATGAAGAGAACATTATACGGATCAAGTACTAGTTATACCCCTTTCTCTTCCAGATTGATTTATTTATGCATACAAGAGCTGGGGTACAGGCCAGAGACGGGGGTGGGGGGGGTGGTGAGAGGATTCACCAGAGACAGAGTGGGGAACAGAACAGGCAGAATGACTGAAACACATGGCTGAGGGGAGCAGCAGGCGAGACAGGAGAGGTCTGTTTCGCCATGTAGGTTGCTCCCTGGCCAGCCAGGAATTGAACTCGTGCTGCAGAGGCTGTGGATTGCTTCACAGTGCAGTGCTTAACCCCATGTACCACCAGGGAGGCCCCAAAGGGAACTGTTTTGACCCATGTGGTAATTACTTCTGTGCTCTCCTCTCTAACTTGTATTCATCAACACTACAGGCCTAGAGAATGTTATTTACATTTGGCTTCTTTTATCTGAGACTCACCATGCTGTTTTATGCAACCGCAGTTATTTTTACTATGTGTTGTACCATGGTCTAGTATTTGTTTCCATTTCTATATATTTTTATCCATGCTGTATTTGCCTTGAGAAAGAAAAAAGTTTCCTTCATAAATTTCTTTTCCCTGGACCTCCTTGGTGGCGCAGGCAATTGAGCGCAGCACTGTGAAGATGTCAGAAGCCTCTGCAGTGCTGGTTCGATGCCCGCTAGGCAGGGAGATGCCCACATGGCGAGGCAGACCTCTCCTGTCTCGCCCGCAGCTCCCCTCAGCAGTGTATTTCAGTTGTCTGCCTGTTCTGCTCCAGGCTCTTGTCTCTGGTGAATCCTCTCACCCTCCCGCACATCTGGCCTATACCCTGGTTCTTGTATATATAAATAAATCTTTAAAAAAAAAATTTTTCCCCCCCCCCCCCCCCTTGCAAGATCAGAGACTAATGTCAGGAGCGGCTAAAGAGTATGCATAGTTCTAATTAACCCCTATTTGCTTAAAGTGATTAGAAGAGTGCTTCACCGCTGACTCCTCCTAAGAGGCTCTTCCTTGCCAAGGTGCCTATTGTGATGCTGATGGCGGGCAGGGCAACCCAGCAGAGGTGACAGGTCATGGTGCATTGGCTGAGACCAGAGAAGAATATCTCAAGTATTTTCTAGTTCACCTGGGACTGAAAATAGGCTTCTCTCCCTTGCGTGGAGTTGGTATGTTGAAAAGCAAATGCAAGAGAAGCGAAGTGCTTGAAGACAAGGATCTATGTAATCCTTCCCAGGCAAGTATAATGTATTTTGTTTCCTCTAGAAAGCCCACAGAAATATTACTTAACCACATTCCTGGAGTGAATACATAGGCACAGAATATACTAGACCCTTCCCTTTATATACTATTGTCTCTCCTTCGACTACAGAGCCTAATCATCAGCCGCAGTTACTAAACATTCTAAACTTCTACACTTCCACTTAAGGATCCAGATACATAAACCTGAATATTAGCTGTTAAACTAAGGTCTCAAAATATGGCCATTTTGGACTCCTCATTTTAATCTATATAGTAGCTGCACTTCTTGAAATGTAATTTACCAATAAGTTTCTTTCACAGCTAGTTCAGTCTAAACTCGTTCTACTGGGTGATGTTCAATTATCACTACTTCTTTGGATTTCCTGACTACATCACTGTGAGTTCCAAATCTCTATGTCCAACTTCGAAGTTGGTTTTGGGCTCCAGATCCCTAAATACAAATACTGACTGGGAGTTTCCACTGAATTTTCCTCATGATTTTAACTCTGCTCTTCTGCTGGCATTTCCACACGGCTCACCGAGTCTCAGTAAGTCCCACTGTGAGCTGTCCAGAAAAATCTGTCTTCCATCCCTACCATATCTAACTTAATTCTGGGTAGCATTTTCTTTTACCTGTTAACTTTTCCTATTTCACTCTTGTTTGTCCATTTGGACAGACTAGCTGCTATCCTACTGCCTAGACTCCTCACCACTAGATCTAAAACTCTGGCCTAACTGAACATTTACACTCCTTTGTGTTCTCTCTAAACATGCCCCTTTACTTAGAATATTTGCTCCCCACTTTCTACTTGTCCTTTGGGTTAGAGCTTACTTTTTGGGGACCAGGAAGGACTTCTCTGTTCCTTCAAGAGAGTCTGAACACTCATCACTTTCTAGGTTTACGCCAGTTGAGCTATTTCAAGTGCACTTGTTTCCACTCAAGGGAGTAGCCTGTCTTACTACAGAACCACTTCTGAACCTGGCACAGTGCTTAGCACACTCACCGGACAAGTACTTCCTGAGCCCGCTATGCCCAGCAGTCTTCTAAGCACTTTGAATGAATCTGGGTTCAAGTGTAGTGAACAAAGATTCCCTGTCTTGTGGAGACTATTCATTCTAGTGAGTGAGCTACACCAACCTGATTTAGAAAAAAGTAAATTACATACAATATGCTAAAAACAAGTCTTATGGGGGGGCGAAATAGATTAGGTTTTCAAGGACTGTGGTGGGAATAAGCAGCAGTACCACCATGGAAGGTCCTGTAGGCCATCCTAAGTAGTACCACCGTTGAGATTTAGAAGCTTAGTTTTGTATTTTGAAAGGGTCCAGGCCAGGGTGCTAGGAGCAGAGGAGAAGAAGTGGGCACTTTTGGAGAAAGAGCAAAAATACATGCTGATGGAGTGTAGAGATGTTGGGTATGCGAGAGTCAAGGACGACTCTTGTCCTGAGCACGTGTAAGGATGGGACTGTCATGTCATCAGCCAAGATCATGAAGACTAGGAGAGCGGGGTGGGGGGGTGCAGAGGGGAGAGAGGATCAGCAGTTTAGTTCTGGACATGTAGTTTTTGACAATACCACATCGATGTTTATTTAATAATCTATAAATATGGAGATTGTGAGAGGCCTGGCATACACTTAGGAATTTGCAATGTAAGTAATATTTACAGAGCAAGGGAAGGGATGAGAGCACCTAGAAGTATGTGAAAAAAGGGGAAATAAAGAACCAAGAATAGTCCTCAAACACTATTATTAAAAGTTTGGGGAGAAGAGAACAAAACTTTGCAAAAGAAAGTGAACAATGTTTACATCCTAATGGGAATGATCTGCATTTCCTATAAAAACTGTATTATGGCAACTAAAAGGCAAGAAGTGCTAAAATGATGGCCTCAAGGAAGCAAAGGGGACAGGTTTCTATTGTATAAGTGGGGAGATTAGCTTTAGACAAAAAACCTAGCACTGAAGGGCCTTGACAAGTGTTTTCTGACATACTATTTTTAGCACGAAGACAAAGGTAGTAAGAGTGAACGCCGCTCTGGTTTGATAGGTAAGTGACATTCTTAGGTTCCTTTTGGATGAACTTTTCCAATTTCTCTTGTCCTCTGTCCCTTTTCCAACAAAGTAAATGCTATTCAATATTAAACGTTAGCTTGGCTCTGATCAATACAAAGAGCCCAGCTTACGTGAAATCTGGGCCGACCGAAAGAGAGACGCTGCTAGCTAAGGAAGGGGAACAGGGAAGCTACTTACCGTTTTCATCCACCGCAAGCACACTTGCTCCTTTCCCCAGAAGCTCCTGAACCACCATTGTTAGCCCATTTCGGGCAGCAACATGCAGAGGTCTGGGGAAGAAAAATGATCTATGTACATGTGCTCTCTCTCCTCCTCTCCTTTCAATTCTGATTGTTAAAGAACATTTCTGCTAAGTTGTGAAGACCCAGGGATACAAAAAGGTGGGGAGTGGGGGACAGGAGAGCAGTGTGTGGTACTTACACACTCTCAAGCGGTGTAAGCGTGCATCAACTTAGCATTATTAGGTCCTGTCAGCCAATTCCTGCTTTCACCAAACCCTTTGTTAGTTTGCACTCTTACATTTTCTAAGTAGTGAAGCTGGCCAACAAACAGAATGAACTGAAGACAGTAAATTGCAATGGTAAAAATTCCACTAGGCTTTGAAGACAGTTTACAGGTTCCATGGTTAGTTTTTTAACCCTCAAGGGAATCGAGTGATACAGGAAGGGAACAAGTTTTAGAAGATTTTTCTCTTCACTAAGTCTCAAAGCAGAATAGCAAATAGAAATTGGGAGAAGACACCGGGATATGGTCTAAGATCTACTCAGCAGTCACTGGGAGGCTCACAGCTCACAGTAAGAACTTGATTCTTTCCACAATCTCTTTAGCTTACAGACACACATAGAAAGCTCATTATCTCATTTATTACCAGTATCAAAGAATGTATTGTTCCAGCTGGTTTCCACAAAACAGTATTACTTTTCTTGATAAAATTATAGATAACTGGATCAAGAAATGATATATTACTTCCAGTACTAAAGTTTTGGTTCAAAAACTCTTAATATATCTATTAATTATGACTTTAGAAATGGGTTTAGTCAATTATAAAAATTGTTCACTTTTTAACTGCTTTTGTGACTAAGATCGGTTCCAATGATCCCTTATTAAGAAAAAGCCCCATTAATCAGTTTTATAATTATGGGTCACAAGGTTTACAGTAGACACTGAAAGTACTCACGTTTGCAAGGCTGCATTGGTTGCATTGATGAGGTTTCTATCTGTTATCTTTTCCAGTATTAACAAGGCACTAGTTTCATGACCCTAAAATCATGGCAAATAACTCTTTAAAAAATGCACACCATTATAGTTAAGTGAATACACTCAAGACACCCCAACCCTAGTCCATACAACAGCTCCACATCACTGTTCATGTCATGACTGCTCTGGGCTAATGCTTAAATATTTGTCCAAACGTGTTGTCGGTGGCGGGGACAATAATTTGAGATAGTAAAGACAGGTGGGAATTATGTTTTAGACCTGTGCTCCAAAATTTACTTGACTTAGCAGAGACTTGCATATGCCTTATGCGATTTGTTTTTAAGAAACCTGAATTTGGTGATCATTAGTTATTTGGTCCCTAGCTCTGGTTCATTTTAGAGCAGGGGAAATACACTGTTGATATTAACAATGAAAACATATCCTTAAAATGTATACATACCTTGCCACAAGCCAAATGGAGGGCAGTGTTTTTACTGTTGTCCTGTAAAGTCAGATCTGCACTAGCACTGCTGACCAGCATCTCTGGGAGGAAAAATTGAATCAAATTTCTTAATTACTAATGACCCAATATAAAGAAATTAAGGTATAAAGCAAAAATCTCAGTATAAGATATAATGTATTTGCTATGCATTGTCATATTGTTTGAAGTGCTCTAAATTTATAGTAACTTCTTTAACACTCATAACAACCCTATCAAATAAGCACTATTATCTTTCTCACCAAATAAATAAAAAAATGGAGGCCTGAGGTCATTCAACTGGCGAATCCAGGACTCATATTTGGCCGGTGTGACTCCAGAGCCTGCTCTCTGAACCAATCACTACCCTGGCCTGCTAAAGCAGACTGTTCAGTCAGTAAGGGCAAAAGAAGACACTGTGGCCCTAAATGAAAATGTGAACTATAAGCAGGTGAAAGTTTTTAACTCTCTGGAATGGTGAGATAAATAGTGGAAATTTCAGTGAACTGGAGTCAGCAAGCCTGGGAGCTAAGTTATATGTAAGCAAGAACCCATGACCAGTTTCTTTACCAACTGTATTTGTTTGTCCATTTTCTGCAGCCATCATGAGAGGGGTTTTCCCAGAAGAGTCCACAGAATTGACTTGAGCGTTGTGACTGAGCAGGAGCTGTAAACACTCGACGTGATCTGTGAAGGCGGCTGCGTGGAGAGGAGTTCTGCAATAAGAAAAGTAGGAGACGAGGCTAAATCCGTGTCATGTGCTCTGGAAAAAATTAGTCCTTAATTTTCAACAAATAATTTTCAAGGATTTACAAATTAGGCAATAAAAACATTGCCTGGATAAAAATGTTTAATTTCTGACACAGAAATTCATATTTCTGATTATATAAATTATAGCACTGCTAAAAAAATTTATTGAAGGAAATTTTGAAAGAAATTCTGACCCACTATAAATACTGTCATCTATTACAACTGCTGGACACTCTTCCAGCCTTTATTCCTGTTTAAAAAAATGCTAACCTCACTAATAATGACCTTTAGGTTACAGACCTATCTTAAAGAAGAAGATTACAATTCATAATAGAAAAAAACCCTTTTAAAAGAAAGTATTTTATGACAATATATGCTTGCAAATATAAAAATTTCAACTTTCAATTAGTAGTGGGCTCTCTATAAATTCTTTTATACTTGTTTAGTAGCAAAAAAATATTTTTCCTACAGAGAGTAAAACTTTCCTAAATAGGTGAATTCCTACCTTCCTTTTGAATCTGTGGTGTTCACGATGCTGGCACCTAATGTATCAATTAACATCTCAGCAGCACCTTCGTTGTCATTTATCCTGTGTAAGGTAACAGGGTGATCATTCTCACAGCAATGGTGTATTTCTTAAACAGTCAACCCCAAACTAATTCATGCCGGCTTCACTTACACAGCACAATGCAAAGGACTAAATGCATTTCCTTCCATTTTCTGGAAAACTTCCTGTTCTAAAAGAAGTTCTACACATGTCTCGTGACCTAAGTAAGTAAATGAGAATCAAGGTATTAAAATCCAAAAAGATACCAAGTGCCTGTGGACACCCACACATCCCTACACAAATAAGAAAGCAGCTTTACATGGATCAACAATAACCAGTTCACTGAGCCCACTGTTTATGATCACAGACCTGAAGTACAACAGATTCTTATCATTTTAGTTTTTTTTTTTTTTTTGACATGACACATATTGTGTGGGGGAAAAAATTAGTCCCATTCTTTATTACAGCGACCAGTTAGAACTATTTGGTCATTGACTCTTCAACTCTCAGTCACACAGCATATCTTAAGTTTCAAAGTAACTGTATTTATATTAGCATAATTAACTTCAAAATTTAAATATTTTCTGATTATAAAATTGAGCTAATGATAGGAATCTCAAAACTGTATATGCGCTGAGAGGGAAAAAAGTCCATGGCCTTTTCTCCACCCCATCTCAGTTCCATTCTCTAGATCCCAAATACTAGATTGTAACCATTACCCATGACCGTTGCAGAAAGTTTCAAACACATTTTATTATTTTATGCAAATAGATGACTATTTCTGCAACTTGTTTTTTACTTCATAAGTGATGTATCTCAAATATATATCGAAACATACCGAAATCTCATTAAATGTCTGGAAGAACTTCATATTACAAAAGTGTATCATAAATGAATTAATCTCTAATTATGGATTTTTGAGATAACTAATAGTTTTTCTTTGCGATATTATCGACAATTTGTAAAGAAACATTCTGGTACTTAAAAATTAATGCAAGTAATTATATAGAACAGACAGTATATTGAACTGTTAACAAGCCCACAGTTTTTAATAGCAACTTTGAAAATACAGACAAAAATTGAAATTCAAATTTTGACTTTGAAAATTAGGTAGCAAAAATCTTAGTAAAAATATCCCAATTACCATACCAATTGCTGCAAATGAAATGCTGCTGCTTTTATTTCAGTACTCATTTTGAATCTGCTTTCAGAGTAAATTTGATTTGTATAGAACCTATTTATTTCCATGGCTTACTATTTGGCAAACAAAGCAATGTTATATTTCTTTTCTTTCTAAATTAATATTCTCAAATGATAGCTTGAGTTAATCTTCATCCTATAATCATTTTTACCAGGAAAACAAAGTTTTAAGAAATCTGTAAGATGTGTTCCATCTTTGGTCAGCTCAGCTGTTTTCTAATACATTTATCCTATATTTTGCCCCTCAGGAGTCATCATCATCAGGGGATGGGAGAAGCAGCGCCACAGGCCTCTTTCTAAACATCACTCACTGCCCATGACAATCCCTCACAACAAAGAACTACCTGACCCAAAATGTCAACGGTGCTATGATTGAGAAACCCTGCTTCAAAAATTTTTTCTTGAGAGGTTTAACTCATGACCAAGAAGCAACCATGGAAGCTGTTCAGATTTCTCTGCAGGTAGAATTCTCAAGGTGTGGTCTGGGGAACTCTGGAATATTCTAACAAACTCATCTTCTCCTAAGTTAGCCATTAAAGAAATTTGCCATTTTTCTCACTTTTGCTTGTAAAATCTTCATAAAACTATCGTATTGACATGTATTAGATTTGTTATTTTAAATTAGTAAATATCCTTACATTTCTCAGTTCTCTTATCCAGTAATGATCAATAGTCATAATCTACAGGTGCTAAGACCAAATGATCTGAGTAGATGGTAGATTGAAAAAAGAGATTTGGGTATTTGATTACAAGTAGCAATCATTGTTAGGTCATAGCAAACTGACACATCTTATCACTTTGTGTACCAGTTTGTGAAAGAATGATAAAACAAGTCTCTTCATGTTCTGGACGATATCTAAGGCTGCTCAGAGCTTCATAAAATTTGGTACATTTTTAAAAGGAACTTAGGAGATAATGTAAATATTCTTTAGGTTCTGTGACTGAATGACTACAAAAACTGAGTATTTGACCATAAAAGTTTAGTATATATAAGCAGTTTTCCCCTAAAAATTTGTATCACTCCAATGTAATTTTGAGAAAGGTGGTTTTCTGTTCTGGAGTGCTTCCCTTCTTCTTTCCAGCTGTTCAATAATTACTAGTCAAAGTAAAACCGTTTTACATATTGTCTACTCTAAGAATGCCGAATTGTAAAATAGGCTTTTGATGATAAATGTGGTATTAATTTTAGACTGACTGCCTGGATTGTCTTATTGTATATAGCCAATACACATCTAGTTCCTTCCAGCTCAATTCAAAATATCACAATTTTGTCACACTAGAAATTAAGGCACATCTGTTAATGATCTTTAAGTGGCAACCACTTATGTAATTTATGCAAAATTTTATACTAAACCTGCTAGAGTAGTAAGTACTTTACTTTAGAGAAATAGTGTTCTCTATAACGACCGGATAAGGAATATTAGAATAGTAACTCCGCAAAGGACAGTTACAGCAGTATTTTTACAAATACACACTTTAACTGACCAAAAAAACCCAACGGTGTGATTTTTTTCCCATCAGTTAATTCTCATTGATACATCATCAGCCCCGACAAAAATATTTACCAATAAGTCTGCTTCCAAACAGTTTTATCTCACTGGATTCTTAACAAATAAAATCCAGAACTGTGGATTTATTCCCATTATTTTTAGATGTTTTCCGTTTTCCTTGTATTTGTAAAATGTCAAGTCACTTTATAGAAACAAATCCAAATATGGTATCTCTTGATTTAGGGCTAATTTTCGGTCTCTTCACTATACCCTTTAAATACCTACTTCAGTGAGTTGAAAGGGAAAAAGGGAAGTCAAAGTCCAAAGATCGTATAGTTTCAAAAGCTGTGGTGGTTGGGAATCTGAGGTAGTAAAAATGAAAGAGACTCAACTAAACTTCTGAATCAGCAGTTCTAATTTAACAATTCAGAATTTCTATGGTCCCTCAAGGTCGAGAGTTGAAGGATGACCATGGTAATCCCAAAACAATCCTTGGAGATCGGAACTTTCTATTCTATGAGTACGGCACAAGAATTTGAAAACTAAAACATTTCATCTAGATAGCACTTATAAAAACAATGAGAATATAATTTTGCAAGATTCATATTTCTTTCATCACAACTCAACAACACTATCTGTCAAACGACTTCCTGTGGAAAAACCAGGCAGCAGCATATTATAGGGAGACAGCAAACTTCAATTCCCCAGTAAGACTATCACTGACTTTCAGAATAGATACTAATTTTTTAAAGCACATGGGCATTTATAGAAAAAGGCAATTTATATTTTCCTCTATACTTTGAGGGAAAGTTGTTAGCATTGTGAAATACTTTTATAGATATTCTCTCACAACTAACAATCTGAATGCCACATTGAGATTCAAAACAAAAAATCTTTCTATCTCCACTAATACCTTAACCCCAAACTTTGACAGGATTAATGTACATAATACATGTAATATAACTGAGTGTTTTCTAAGGTGATCAACACCTATGGCACTATTACACAAGGTAAAAATTACTGTATCTCATATACTCCATTACTTATTTTAATTAGTATGATTTCATAAGCCAAACTCCATTTTTAACATTTATAACTTAAACACAGGTTTATACTTCTCTGACTTTTAAAAAGTCTACCTATATAGAAGGAATACTGAAACTGTGAGCCTCTAGGAAACTAAGTGTTCTATATATGCAGCAAAGCTAACACTGCCATAAAAGTTTCTAAATTTCTGTTCCTATGACGTTCTAGGACTAGATTCTTGTAAACGTTCAGCATACATGTTAGTGTTATGGGTACCTTGCAAGATGTTCAGAACACACACACAGATTTCAGCTTAGCATGTGACTCATTTTCACTATTTCTCCAATCTTTGTCATTTTCCCCCCATAAAACAAGTACACTTATGAAGAAGACCTAATCAAAAGGTAAGGATACCATATAAAAGACATGGGAAATATTATAAAAATACCTTTTAAATGCATAAATACCTGTTGAAGCAAAGTCTAAGAAAAACTGCAAATTTAGTGATAGTTTATCTCAAAACACCTTAGTATCTTGGCTTTGGTATGACAATGGCTAAGATTATTTCAAGTCTTCCTACAAATTTTAAACTTTAATTTTGCCTTATAAACAATATCAGAGTATACTAAGTAAGTTGGCTCTGCTTAGTAGACAACAGGCTACTTATCCTAAGTTTGTGCCCATATACTTAACCGTTGTAGCAAGCCCAGTGGAGTGCTGTATATCCGTGATTGTCGACTATAGCTGGATTTGCATCCATAGATGCTGCTGACTGCAAAAGGGCTCCAAGAACACCAATGTGTCCACAGGCAGCTGACAAGTGTATAGGTGTCCGGCCCCGGCTATCCCGAAATAAGCACTTAGCACCATGTTGAAGTAATGCGTCTACACATTCTTCATGGCCTGTAACTGCCTGAAATAAGAATAATTTGCATGTAGTTTAATATATTATGTAGAGTACTATACACAATTAGAGCTAATTAAAAAACTTTTAAGTATATATTCCCCATATCCTTCCACCAACCAAGGTATCATTTTTGAATGATTCAATATTGCTATTGGAAGTGGCTTAACAATTTAGAGTAGTGAATTTTTTCAAAATATTAGTATGAAAAACGAGAATAGCCGAATTTATAATTCCATGAAGATAATTAACATTTCAAAGGTTCAAAACAGTAAGACAAAAATATGTAAGAATATAGTTGTGATAATGGAAAAAAATCAAATTGACTTTAATTCTACGAAAGCTTAGGGTTTTAAGATTTTGTTCCAAGAACTGAAACTTCTTGGAACTTAACTCATGATAAAGGAGCCACAACTATACAACAGGAAAAGAACTCTCTAACAAACAGTGTTGGGAATGAAACTGGATTGCTCTCTAATTCTATGCACAAAAATAAATTCTAATTAAGATTAAAGGTACAGATATAAGACCTGCAACTGCAACAATAAAATACACAGAGAAAACATAAGTAGTATGTTACATGACATCAATGATAAAGATATTTTTGGACACTCAACTCCTATAAGTAAAACAGATAACTGGGATGACTGCAAGTTAAAGAGCTTTTACACAGTCAAAGAAAATGTAAGTAGATTAAAAAAATTATATTGAATGGAAAATATTCACACATTACACAATCAACAAGGGATTACCATCCAAGATGTTAAAAAAAAAAAAAACCCTTCAATTTAATGATGAAAAACCAAACAACCCAATTCATATATGGGCAGCAAATCTGGACAGACAACTCACCAAGAGGATATCCAGAAGACCAACAGACATATGAAAAAATGTTCATCATTGCTTTTAATAAGGATGGTCAAAATCACAATGAGGTTATCGTATGTTGCACATATTAACAAGACCCCAGTGTTGGAGAGGAGGTGGAGAAACAGAAACCCTTTCTCTTTGGGAATGTTGGTAGGAATGTAAACTGTGTAGCCATTCTGGAAGTGATGGGGATTTACCTTAAAAAACTAAAAATGGAAATACTGTATGACCCAGCAATCCCTGAAGAACTACTGAAGAACATGAAATCATCAACAAAAAAATTATATGCTCTACAGTTTATTGCATTAGTTATAGTAGTAGGACATGGAAACAATGTTAAAGTGCCCACAGGATGGGATGGAGAAGATGTAGTATAAATCAACACAATGGAATAACTAGTCAGCCACAAGGAAAGACAAAATATTGCCATTTATAGCAAAATGGAAGGCTTTTGAGGGGATTATACATAGAAAGCAATTCAGAATGTCTAATATTGGATGTTTACATAGCAAAAGATATGACAAAGCAAAAAGTAAAAATTAGCAGATGCTAATAAATGTAGTGAGGTCTCTAACGTAGTAGTGGGGGTAAGGGAAAAAGGGTCAAAAGAGCATAGGGGATGGTGGTGGGGGAGAAAAAGAAAACTAAGTTCAAAGAGGTAAAAAACAAGAAAATGGAGGCATGCAAACAACAAAAAACATAGAATATACCCTAAAATAATATACATTGGCAAATTTTAGCTTCCAGGTTCTATAAAGTTGGGCATAACGGCACTGAATTCGCTGATTATACAATGGTATTAATACAATGGCTACAAAATACAGTTAAAATTCATAAAAAAGAATTTCTTTATAGCATTAAATGAATTTGTCCTAAAACTATTATATGAAGTGCTATGATAAAGTTCATGTTATGTAAAAATGAGCAGAGAAAACAAAAATCATGCAAGTCTAAGCAAAAAAAAATAAGTTCTCACAGTTTAAAGAGAAAGGAAAAAATAGCATAACATTCTTCTCTGGATTAAGTTGTGCTTAGTAGTTCTCTAAAATTAGCATTCAAGGGCCTCCCCAGTGGTGTAGCGGTTGAGCGCTGGGTTGCGAAGCTGCCAGCAGCCTCTGCAGCACCGGTTCGATCCCCGGCCGCCAGGTGAGGGTCCCACATGGCACGCAGACCTCTCCTGCCGCCTGTTCTGCTCCCCACTCTGGCTCTGGTGAATTCTCTCACTCACCCTCCCACACCTCTGACTGTACCCAGTGCATGTGTAAATAAATAAATAAATCTTTAAAAATAAATAAAACAATGGAACATGTTTACAAACAAAAAAAAAATAAAATTAGCATTCAAGAACTAAGATACTAAACAGTGAAGATCATTTGGTAAAAACTTAATGAAGAGAAATATACAAAACATATTCAATTTAGGTAAAATGAGGTCATATAAACCTCTCTGAAAGGAAATGGGTTTGTTGCTTACCCCTCTATGCAGTGCTGTCCTTCCCCATTTATCTTTGGCATCTACATTTGCGCCTTTGTTCAGCAGTGAGTAGACACAGTCTGTGTGCCCGTTGAGCACAGAGAGCATCAGAGGCGTCCTGAGCAGCAATGGGAAGAGGCACTTCATGAAGCACAATTCATCGGCATGCTAGCTTGTTTTTCTAAATATGCCCTTTTGTGGTATCTTTCAAGTATGCGCAAATTAAGAAACTGTATTTGGTATCATTTAATTACATTATTATAAGATCACTAAATCAGGGACCAAAGTATTAAAAATTAAACATCCTGGGCCTCCCTGGGGGCGCAAGGGGTTAATCACCACACTATGAAGCAATCCGCCCCTGGCCGGCCAGGGAGCTACCCACATGGCACGGCAGACCTCTCCTGTCTCGCCCACTGCTCCCCTCAGCAGTATATTTCGGTCAATCTGCCTGTTCTACTCCCCACTCTGTCTCTGGTGAATCCTTTCACCCCCCACAACTCTGGCCTGTATCCCAGCTCTTGTATGCATAAATCAATCAATCTTAAAAAAAAATTAAACATCCTAAAAATAATTGAAAATTATTAAAACTTACTGTCCATTTCCATCTTGAATATCAACTGCATTCTGAGGTTCTGCATTTCCTACTAGTAGCCGTAAGCACTCTGAATGGCCATTTGTTGCTGTAAAGCGATTTTTAAAAATTTCAATAATTATATGTAGTGATAAAACAGAACATGCCCCTCTCTAAAATGTCTAATCTATAAACATATTTTCTAGATATAATTTTGAAATAGTTTCAATGAATTTAATAGGCAAGGTAACTATCTATAGCTACAAAGCTATAGGGACTTTGTTGATAAAATTGAATAAATTCTTCATAGCAAATCATAGCTGGCAGCCATCCCTCCTCATCTGCCCCAATAATAACGCTCTGCTGGTGGTGGTGTGGTCAGGGAGGTGGTCTGCCCCAAGCCAAGAGATGGAATCATTAGACCAGGCAGTAACAGTAACTCCACTTCCCTTCACCAGTGACTGGTTTCAGGTTAGTGCTGGTCTAGTTTGGACCACTGAGATGTTAAGAAGTATGGAGGGCTTCTGGGAAGTATTTTTATAGAAATTAAAATTTTAAATTTCATTAAATAATGAAAAATCCCTTTTCTTTCCTGATCTTGGATGTGATCCTGTAAAGCAGCATCATTCTGTGACATCAGCACAAAGGCAAGAGAATAAGAGAGTCGTTCTGAACTATAATACGAATGAAAACTAAACCAACCCTGGAAGTCCACTGACCTCTTTATGTAGTACACAAAATGGGCAATGGTGTAAGAAGTTGCCTAAGGAAAATAATAAGCTCTTAAAATAAATGCTCAGCAAATCTAGGTCCTACTCATAATACAGTTTGAAGTTTCAAGAAATAATAAGCCATATAACGATGCAATAAGTAGTACCTATCACTAGTCTTCCTAATTAAAAGATGACAAAATTAGTTAAGGCAAAAGCTAGATGCCTAATATGCTACTGTATTTTTAACAGCTATACTAAATTATACTAGTTATTAAGACTTGTGGCTCAGGGCCTCCCGGTGGCGCAGCGGTTGAGCGCTGGGTTGCGAAGCTGCCCGCATCCTCTGTGGCGCCGGTTCGATCCCCGGCTGCTCCCCGGCCACCAGAGGAGGGTCCCACATGGCGAGCAGACCTCTCCTGCCGCCAGCTGCTCCCCTCAGCAGTGTACTTCGGTCCTTCTGCCTGCTCTGCTCCCCGCTCTGGCTCTGGTGAATTCTCTCACCCTCCCACGCTTCTGGCTGTACCCAGTGCTTGTATAAATAAATAAATCTTTAAAAAAAAAAAAATCTTAAAAAAAAAAAAAAAAAAAAAAAGACTTGTGGCTCAAAATCCTTCCACCTGTATGGGACATCAGCCAACAGCTGTCTTAGTAATCACTTACAGAGTCACTGAAACATCCCACTTGGGGCTGCTGCAAGGACATTTAGTTGAACCCATCATTTAAAACTCAGGGCAGAGCATTCTGAGTTTTGATAATACCTAAGTTCAGAGCCCAAAAACCAATCATAACATCACTGTGGGAAAGGGCTGGTTAACTTCCAGGGAAAAATTTCATGTCTCTTAACAAGATTAGTGAATACATGCTCCCCAGCAGACCTCCAAGTGTGAAAAGCTTCTACAGAAACAAGGTTTGCATTTAAATAGTTAGGTGCTAACAGAACCCTGCAGCTCTTTCAGAAGACAGGATTTATGTTAGACTGCATAGCATTGGTTAGCAGCTTCTGGGGCAATGGCAACCTCTGTTCAATATTTATCCATTAAGAGTTCAAAGACTCTATGAAAGCTTTAAATTGGCTCTGGGGGGAAAAAAAGCTCTGCAAATGCTCTATTTACAGTTTTTAAAACTGTAGAATGGTAACTTTACTCTTTTCAGAATAAGATAATAGAAAATGATGGTATTTTGATTACCATATAGCAATTTATACCCACACATTTACCACAAGTTTTAACACATTACTAAAATTTTTGTCTCTGAGCCCTGATTATCTGCTGGTTTTTGAAAGGCTGTGCTGGAGAGACAGTGGCTGTTCTGTAAAATGCAAGTTTCCAAAAGCACCAGAAGCAAAGTCTAAGACCTATATTTAAATTTGCCCTAAGTATCAGTCCATAAAACAGATCAAGTGAAAATAATCTAATCATATACATAAAGATGGCCAACGAGAATGAGAAAAATACTTGGCTAGGATTTCTTCAAGTATATCAGTCTTGGTTACTTAAAATTAAAATTGTCTTGTAATAAAGTGAGCCTCCCTGGTGGCACAAGGGGTTAGCACTAAAGCTATTCGTAGCCACTGCAGCACAAGTTCAATCCCTGGCCAGGGAGCTAACCCATGCGGCACAGCAGACTCTCCTGTCCTACCCGCTGCTCCCCTCAGCAGTGTATTTCAGTCAGTCCGCCTGTTCTGCTCCCCACTCTGACTCTGGTGAATCCTCTCACTATCCCTGTTACCCCCACACCTCTGGCCTACACCCCAGCTCCTGCATGCGGATTTATTTTAAATAAATCTCTAAAAAAGAAAATTTCTAGAGAGAGTGTTGTATTAGTACCTGCCATGAAACATAGCTGGTACCAAGTCAAAAATGACATGGCGATAAACCTACACCACCACAAAAAAATCACACATGGAGTAGTGCTGGTGTAATGTAGGTATAATTTGACTAAATGCTAATGCTGGTAAAGGATGTCAAAATGTTTATCAATTGCTAATGAAAGCACATACCAATCCAAAATCATGTCCATCAGAAATGAGTAAAAATAACTGCCTTATTTTGTTCAGAATTAAGACTTACTTCAGAATTAAGACTTTTATGGAAGTCCAATCTCTAAGATAACTAATGATTTATAAAGCAGCTACAATCTTCTTGTTGGCTTTTCCCTGAGTAGAATCATTTGACCTTTCAAAAAGCTACAACTGCTACAACTACCAGAAGTACAATAAACAAAAAATTAAAAAAGAAAATGAGTATTAGATGAAAAGTGGTAAATAAAAGCATGCATAATATTTAACATACCTGCAGCGTGTATAGGGGTTCTCTTCAAAATGTAATCTTTCACTAAGATCGAGGCTCCCTGATTAATGAGTACATCCACACATTCAACATGGCCCTTAAATGCTGCAAGATCTAAGGGTGTTCTTCCACTACTATTTCTCACATCAAGATCTAACAAAGACTGTACCAACACTTCCAGTGCTTGATGGTGACCATGATAGGCCTAGGAGTAAATAGAAATATTAATTAGAAAAATATTTAGACTGACTTCTCAAATACCTTATAAAACCTGTTTTCACATTATATACAAGACAATCCAAAGCTTCTGTATTGAAAATTCAGAAAATTAACTACAAATTTTTCTAATAATCAAATAGTCGGCTATAGTGCTAGGGACTAATAAAAAATTCAAATGACTGGTGATCTTTTCATAAGTATACAGTGTATGGCTCATGACAGACATTCAATTGATGTCTGACATGCTTTCAGTTAAAGCTTTTATTCTAAGTCTAATTCCAAAGCCTGTATTCTTTTTCTTTTTTTAATTTTTTAAAAAATATTTTATTTTATATAATTCTTACATCATTTTTCATTTTTGAGCAAAGAGAGAGAAACCCAGCCTGTATTCTTAATCATACTTCAGTGCTCTACAAACTCCCTGATACAATTTTACAACTTTTCCTAAAGAGTCAGCGAGCAACTGAAGTTAAGCTAGTACTTGAGACTTCTATTTTCTCAAATTAAAACTACCTCACCCATAACATAAAACATTTCTTCTAGCACAGAAATATATGGACTGAGCTCTGCTTGAGTAACTGCCATAGACAAGCATTGTCTCAACTGTATAAAACAGCAAGAAGATTTAAACGCAGTCTGATGAAGGGGCTTCCAGATAATTCATTTCAAAAACCAACATGTCAAATGAACACCTATTATTCTCACAGAACCAACATGAAAGGAATGTTCTCTCCAGTTCACTTACACCACTACTTTGTAGCTAAGGGACTATCACAAGTCATTTTCCGGTACCATTAAGACCTACAGCTCAGCAGGTTGCTAAATGATCAAGTGCAAACTGAAAAATATAAAATTCTGCCACCATTGAGTTAAATCTCGCGTGCTCTTGATCTCAAGAAGGGAGTTTAGCTAGGGCAGGACCCCACATCCCATCAAAGGGCTGTAATGCTGTTTCTGGCAAAAAAATGTCAGAGAGTAGCAGCAAGAGGTAAGTTTCTCTAGCTTTACTGATCTCTTTGATAGTTCTGTGTAGGCCACTTGACTACTGACAAACTTGACTGCCTCAAAGATGAAAGTGACTGGAGAGCACGGATTTCTACCGTCCTAGGATCATATATAATCTGCATTACCAGGTCAATGAAAGTATGTTTCTAAAATAAAAAACTTTGTGTAAAACAGTATATATGTAGGAGATATTTATAGAAAGAAAAGAGAAAATAAGGATAACAGGAGCCATGATTTGCCACAGAGTTCTTCCCCTCGTGGCGAACAGGGCTGAGACAAGAAATCTATACATTTAATATGCACAAAGAGAAACCAAGACCAACTTCCTTAAACACCAAGCCAGTGTGTTTTCACTGCATCAAGTTGTTTCTGCTGGGAGAGTTTGGAAGGGAAAATAAATCACTCCTAGTAATTCCTGAAAACCTCTTAGGGATATAAAATATATAAGTGACGATAAAATCACAATTCATTGAGCCTAATTAATCATAATTTGTTTCCATTTCAGTTTAAAAATACTACTCAGCAACACACCCAAGTTAATAACAGCACTATTGACAAAAACCATGGAGCAAAAAAAACCAGGTTTTGGGGAGAATCAAAAAGCTTGTCAAAGTGCTTAGTCTGGCACCTAGCTTGTGCTCAGGAAATGATAGCACAAATACTAGAAGGATGATGATGATGAGGAGGAGGAGCATGTAAGAATTGTCTAGTCAACTGCGCAGACTTTACTTCTTGCCACCAAGAGTAAAATGGTTATTTTCTCCAAGCTGGCATTACTCTTTCAGATTACTTATTTTCTATGCAATCTGGGAAAAGTAGATACTGTTTCCAAAGCCCCAAAGGGCAAAGAGGAAGGAAGCTTCACTATGTCTCCTCAGTTATTTAGAAGATGGTAAGAAATACTAGTGGGGTGAGAGAGGCAGAAATACAAAGCAGAAAATTCAATGTACATGTGTCAGTATTAGAAACATGGAAGATGAATACTAAGATAAAAAAATACTACATGTGAGAAGAAACTAAAGAATCACCAAATTTATAGTAATCCACATTAACTTAAGTATTTTATGCTAAAAAGCATTTTTACTTCAAATCAGAGGTCACACAAATAGCTAGTGACAGTACCCAAGTCTCTTGATTCTCAAAGTCCCTCCCTCTGCCATCTCCCCTCCTGCTCCAACTGTAACATGCTTTGTTGAGCTACACTAGGCTTTGCTTGACATTTCTTAAATTCATTTATTTTCTTGTCTTCAAGAACTCTTGTTCTCTCTTAACCTTCTCCTCTCAGTGACTGACATTTAGTGGAGAAATACAAGTTACCCGTAAGCTAGAAGCATAAGCAACTGAAGTATCAGTGGACAGTGGACATAAGTTACTACCCCAAAATCACAAAGCAAAAAGTTGTAGAAATACCATAGAAATTACGGTGTTTCACTGTTAAGTTACCTGCTTAACAAGTTAGAAACCATTCCAGGAGGACCGAGCATTTTCGAATTTACATCATAGGTATATTCTAACCTTAAGAGCAGGCCCTTGGTGAAGCCCAATACCATTTTGAGGGGCTTGTTTTCATTTAAACAAAACCTAACAAAAGTACACTGAACAATTCTTTGGAAAAAGTTAACATTTTAATTTCATGATCATCATTACATGGAACAGAAGTTCTGGGTACCAGTTTGAGTCAAAACAGAGAGGAGATATTCTCAGTAAACTAGCTATGAAACTGGTTATGAAGGCAGTACTCACAGCCAAGTGTAAAGGGCTTATTGTGGCTCTATTATCTGAATCACTCAGCATGTCTGTTCCTGAGGTTTCCATTAACTGAAATAGAAAAGCAGCATTTTAAATGTCAGAAATGGCATTTTCAGATATACTACAGCAGTTATTCCTGTTTCCCTACTTGAAGTTAAATCCATGAGTATAAATTAACATTTGAATATGAATTTTAAGATACAAGACCATTACATTGTGAAAACTAAACTCAGCAAGCTCTATAGATCACTGTGAAATTGTGGAAAGAACCAGAGCACTGAGAGAGAGCTATAAACGGTGAGCTTCAGGGAAATGCTATTTAATTACTGTCTCCCTGCTTACATGATTTATGTCATTTATCTTAGTTCCCAGGAATATGTAAAATTGGTCTCAGTTCTAGTGCGAGCAAAATGAATACTTATAAAATTTTGAATGGCAGGGGGGCAGAGGGCATAGCCTAATACTTACAACATCTAAAGGAGTTTCACTTGCAATCTGAAATAAAAATAAAAATGTTTAGGTCAGAGGTATTCATATGCATTAAAGAGATAAATGTCAACTACATTTTTCTACTTAAATAGGATTTTGTTGTATTTTATTTGGAACATGTGTTTTCTTTCCCTCAAAAATTTAAGTCTTTTAAATAAACAATTGTACAATATAATAGACCACAAAACTATATATACGGTTATAAGATTTTAGTCTAAAGATACCATGATAACCTAAGGAAATATTTATTTGTAGCAGGAATCTAACTGTTGTATTAAATACATCAACCTCCTTTTTCTATCTTTTATGTCAACTCTCCTTGCATTTTACTTCCTCCTAAAGAGAAGTAACATTTAATACAGTTTATAAGGTAAATTAATGAATATAGTTTCTAAAGTAAGCCTCAAATCATAGAGAATTCTTTAACCTGAAGCATTTGTTATGCACTGAGTATCTTTTATCCCTTACTTTCCCTATGGTTTGACAAAGTGGGGTGAATGGTATAAATATTCAAGAATAAGATCACAGTTGAAATAAAAACCCCATTGCAGAAGCAGAGTCTCCCTGATCATTAGAGACTTTTAATAGAAAGAATGGACTTTTCAGAATGCCCTAGGAATCTTCCTTTTACAGGAAAATTTATTTTTCACATAAGATGCAGCTACAGTTCTTCAGAAACTTCTCAAAAACACTTATTTTAAAACACAGGGGAAGTAAATGCTACATATACGTGAGTTAAATATAAGAGAAGGAAATAAGTAGCCCTGATCAGAGAACCAATTTTCTTTTCCTCCTTTCTTTCTGAAAGGGAGAAGTGAATTAGATTTCTTACTGAGGCAAGTATGAATTTAAGAGGTATATGGGTTCTAAAAGTATTAAAAAGCAACAATCAGTTTCTTGATTCTTTTATTAGCATTATATTACTAGAATATAAACTCACATTAGTTCTTACACAGAAATTCAGGACTCTTACCAGCTGGAGACACAGACGGTGACCATAAGCAGCTGAATAATGAACTGCATTGTATCCTTGCTTGTCCCGAATCCCTGGATTTGCATCATTTCTTAGTAAGTATTCCAGGCACCTATATAGAGCAACATTTTCAAAATATTTTCAGCATTTTAAAATCATACATATATCTATTTGCTACATAAATTTGCTATTTCAACATTGTGTCATAAAATATTAAAGCAATGTTCATAAGAGAATCTTCATTCAAAGAGAACACCTCCAATGTCTGTTAGCAAGTTTAGTACCACTATTATGGTATCACCCACTCCATTTAGAAAATGTGTGATTGAAAATTAACCTCTTAGCGGTGGTGAGCATGCAATGTTGGCAGTATTACTGCTTATCTATTTAAAACACATGAGAACAGTTATCTCACTAGGAAGGTCAAGAAAATGTAAAAATATCCTCAAGGAAATCAAGGTCAGAATTTGCTGACCTTGCATTAGAGGACTGAGAAGTGCAGAAACAGTAAAAGTGGAATGTAGGTAGTAAGAAAAGATCTTCCCATGGGAGATATACTTCATTCTAGTGCTATTAAAATATGAGAAAAATAATTTTTAAATATTCAGAATTTACTACAATTTTAATAAATTTGATTGATACTATAATGAAAAAAATGTACTTAGTTAGAAATTAAAGGATTTGTCCCTAGATCTAGTTTGATACAAAAGATCCTGAGATGGGCCTCCCTGGTGGTACAAGGGGTTAAGTCTCAGCACTAAAGATAACCTCAGTCATTGCAGCATGAATTCAATCCCCAGCCAGGGAGCTAACACACACGGGGCAGCAGACCTCTCCTGACTCGCCTGCTACTCCCCTCAGCAGTGTATTTCATCAGTCTGCCTGCCCTGTTCCCCACTCTGTCTCTGGTGAATCCTCTCACCATCCCCTCCCCACCCCTACCTCCCACCACCTCTGGCCTGTACTCCAGTTGTTTTTTTAAAGATTTATTTATTTATGCATACAAAGAACTGGGGTACAAGCAAAGGTGTGGAGGGAGAGAGGATTCACCAGAGACGGAGAGAGGATTCACCAGAGACAGAGTGGGTATCAGAACAGGCAGACTGACTGAAATACACTGCTGCGGGGAACAGTGGGCAAGTCAGGAGAGGTCTGCTGTGCCATGTAGTACTCCAGTTCTTGCATGCATAAAATAAATAAATCTTAAAAACAAACAAAAAAACACAACAAAAGATCTTGAGGAAATCATTTCACCTTTATGTTGAAATGATCTCTGTAGAGACCATTCCTGTAGGAATACAACTAAATATAATCTGAAGTCCATACATGTTCAAATTCAAGTCTGATTATTCATTGGTAATTTTTCTAATATTTCAATAAACAATTCCACTACTAGGAGGAAAAAATCTATAATTAAACATTCCTTGTTAAAAATTCAAGTTTCTAAAAGCACTGAAATTATATAAAAAGAAAAAGCAACTCTGAAGCAATGAAACTGATCATTAATTCTGCCCTTCATTCACATATATATGCATATGTATATGTTTTCTTTTCAATGCCAACCCTGTTTTCTTTCAAGTTGAATTGCTTAAAACCCTTTAGATCTTTCTCACCTTCTTCTGACAAGTAGGATTTTAATATTTTAAGTACAGCTAAAATTATTAATGAAACATAGTCAACTGGTTTATCACTAGGACCAAAAAACCAAAGTCTGACTCTGAAGCAACAAGACTAGTGTTTTCTGGTGTTCATAAACTAGTTTTAAAGGCACTTTATGAACAGACACTGTCAGTATGTAAAATGTCTATATACAACCTTCCTAGATGTCCAGTTCAGTGGTCAATGCTCAGGAGAGAAGAAAAGACCTGGAGGGTTAGAGGACAGTTTAAGTGCTTTACAGGTACAAGCATTTCACCAAGGGTACCATGTTATCTTTGAATTCTCTAGTTATAAGTAAGACAGAAATAGTTCTCCTTACTGAGACCTGAATACAAGGTAGATTCTATCATTCGAACAAACTGTTTTAAGGTAACTCACTGATACAAGAGTACTGAAAAACAATTTAAGGAAAGCAAAGCAAGGAAGTACATTCACGTTTACCTTCTAAAGTAGGAGAACACATCTCAAAAGCATTGTTTACAATGTCTACTTCCAACCATACAGATTCAAATGGTTTGAGGTAATTTAACTGTTATACAGAAGTTTTTATAAATTTTATTATTGTTCTAATTTTCTACATTTACATTACTCAGATGATTGGTCTCCTGGAACAATATAAATAAAAACTAAGAGTTAATTCATAGTGACTTTTCTTAACTATTACATGAGATAAGCATTACCCTTAATAAATGAAAAAAAATTACTGATGCCCAGGAAAATTAAATGATTTGTTCTAAATCCTTTGGCTAAAATATGTCAAGGGCAGGCCAAATTCATTGTCCTTTCCATAACACCAAATGCTTCAACATAGGGGATAATGACCTAAGAGTGACTCTTTAACCCAGGTGTTTATAAAATAATGAATCACAAAATTACTTTATCTTCAAAATCTGGACCTCATTTTTTTTTTTTTTTTTTTAATAGAGGCATGTTATTTATTTATTTATTTGTTTGTTTGCTTGCTTTGTTTTTATACATGCACTGGGTACAGTCAGAAGCGCGGGAGGGTGAGAGAATTCACCAGAGCCAGAGCGGGGAGCAGAGCAGGCAGAAGGACCGAAGTACACTGCTGAAGGGAGCAGTGGGTGGCAGGAGAGGTCTGCGCACCATGTGGGACCCTCCTCTGGTGGCCGGGGAGCAGCCGCGGATTGAACCGGCGCCGCTGAGGCTGCGGGCAGCTTCGCAACCCAGCGCTCAACCGCTGCGCCACCGGGAGGCCCTGGACCTCATTTTTAATTTGCAAAAAAGGTGAAAGGGAGGAGTCTATTCTGATTTTTCATCATTATAAATTAACACATACTCATTTTCTAAAACTCAGAAAATTAAGAAGTGAAGGTTCTCTATAATTATTCTCCTTCCCCTGAAATAAACTGTGCATGCACTGTCTGAAGGATTATTTATGGCAGTAATACAATGTATATTTTGTTTTTTCACTTAATGTTAGACAAATTAACTTCAACACAAGTAAGCATATGATTTATAGCAGAGTGCATTTCAAATTATTTAAATTTCTCTTACATTGCCCCTATCATTCATGAATTCCCACCTCGAAGTTCTGGCAAAAGTTCAAAGTGATTTAATTTCTTGAGACGCTTGGAAGGTCAAGATCACTCAGCCCATGGGCAGAGGATGTAGCACTGTCACCTGAGGCCCTCATTTCCTACACTGTACAGATACACTGTGTCTATTCTTTAAAAAAAAAAAAAAGATTAAGCATGGTTTTAAAAATACAGCTAATATTTATAGGAAGATTATAATATGCCAGGTACTATTTCTAAGCAGTCCCCATATGCTATACTTTATATGGCTGTCATGAGTTAGGTCACACTACCTCAATTTCCAGATGAAATGGGAACAGAGGTTAATAAGTCAAATACATTTTTCTGCACCACCACAAACAAAAGGGAATTTATGGATTTGTTTTACTTAGATTTATATACAAAAATATCAAATACTTAGGGATTAATCTAAGGATTATAAAACTTAATCTAAGGATTATAAAAATGGCATGATTCTATTTACATAAAGTTCAAAAACAAGCAATAAACCATACCATCAGAAATCAATACATGATATTGTGAAAAATGCCAATTATCATTAAAGATGAAACCTATGTGGCCATCTCTGAACAGCAGGCATGAGGACTTCTTCTTTACATAGAATCAGAAAATCAACCCCACCCGTTCCCCTCATAAACACCACATGAGCATGACTTGCTCAAAGTCAGTCCTATTTTCTTCAACTGGCAAAGAGAATTTTATTAAAGTTTGATACATGTAATATGTTTCTTTTAATAGCAACTGTATATTTGTTTGCCTAGTCATAATTCTACACAGAATGCAGCATCAGGATGACAAGGTGACGAACAGAATGAGTCAATAAAGATTTCATGGATTCTTCCAGTATCACTGAGAGTGAGGATGGAGGGACACAAAGGAGGGAGAATAAGTAATTATTTATGTCACTTCTGAACAGCACAAAGCCAGTGTCAGAGTGTTAAAAATTCCAAACTATCAATTTTCCCTTGGAAGATTTATAGGTGGCAACTGATGCCGACAGCAGATTAATGAACAAACACAAAACAACAAAAAATACACATTATTGAAAACAGAATTTGGAGTTATGGGAAACTTGTTTCTTCTTTGAGGATATATTCCATTCTTGCTTTAGCAGAAGTATAAATTAATTAGGACAGATTCTCTTATCCAACCTATTCCTTTGAAATTTAGAAAAATGAAACATTATCCTTTAATGCTACTAATAAAGCTTCCAAAACACACTGGAAAGATGCCTCTGATATCCTAAAATGGTTTCCAAGGAATTGAATCACTGAGTTGATAAATGGTGGCTTTCAACAGGATCTCAGCAATTCTGGTATCTTACAGATAAGAAACAGAGGCTCCACGAAACTGAGCTAGGTTCTTTTACACCATGATTTCATTAGTTTTTTCCCATAATTCTAAGAAGTATGTTTCTTTTTAATTTTACAGATGAAACTTTTGCTGACCACTTAAGGGGGAGTAATATAAATTGCCCAAAATTTAAAGTGCGCCTCTCAGTTCATGCTTTCCAGTCATCAAGCTGCCTACTGTGGATACTGAAAATCGTCTTAATAGTAAACATCACTAGCCTACTGCTCAAAACAGCTTATCTTAGATGTGAAAACTAATGATTTTTTTCACTTTAGTAACAGTACTTTTCTCCAGAAAAAGTAGAATGGCTTAAAATAAATCCACAAATCCCAAAAATATTGTTATTCTCTTGCGTGGGAGCAGTGACAAAGGACTATAGAAGGTGGTAATAGTTATTTAGGTATAACCTATTTCAGGAAAATTTATCAATCAAACCCTGAAACTACAAAATTTACGAATCACAGGATAATCGACTACCCAACTTTATAAAAACATTTTCTGATTTACAGTCTTTATCACACATTTTCATTATATGGCTACTATCAAAAATACTTCAAATAATTTAATTTATTCCCAAATCTCTACATATCTAAGCTATACTGACATATATGAAGTTGCATAAAGTGGCATATTCCTGCAAATAAAAAATACACTTTACTATAGCCTTCAACAAAACAAGAATTTTAGCCACAATTGCAAAATTACAAAATATTGCTTATAGAAATTGGTTTGAAATTACAGAATTTATAATAAATTAACAATCGTGAATAATACTGTCAAATTATACTTTCTGGGGATAAAAATAACCAAAGTAAGTTCTATTTTATTTCTTTTCTTTCTTTTTCATATAGCTTTATTTTTTAAAAAAAGATTTATTTATTTATGCATACAAGAGCTGGGGTACATACAGGCCAGAGATGCGGGGGGTGAGAGGATTCACCAGAGACAGAGTAGGGAACAGAACAGGCAGACTGACTGAAATACACCGCTGAGGGGAGCAGTGGGGGAGAAAGGAGAGGTCTGCCCCGCCATGTGGGTTGCTCCCTGGCCGGCCGGGGATCGAACTTGTGCTGCAGAGGCTGCAGATTGCTTAAAAGTGTGGTGCTTAACCCCTTGCGCCACCAGGGAGGCCCCTGTAATAGCTCTATTATAAATGCAACTTCCTGGAGTATATTTTATAAACTTTTCCCAGAAATCGTTATCCCAGACATACGGAGAATACCGTAGACAATGAATATCTTTCCATTGTCTCCATTGAGTTTATTTTCTTTCAATAAGACAACATATATGAAGCACAATAAATGGGTCTGAGCAACTTTGCTGACTATTACTTATGAAAGAATTTAGATGTCACTAATTCATTTGTTTTTATTCATTCTTGTCCAACATTGACTTAATCCATTATTTAATTTACTTAGCGTAAGCAACATTCAGTGGCAGCTACATGCCAATTTCTGCCGAGTCCAATCACTCCCTTTTTCGGTACCAATTCATTAGGATTCCTTGCAAATCTTAACTCTCTTCCTGTGAAAGAGTCAGGCATTCCGACAACCAATTCTTCTGATATTGTCCATATCTCCTTTCTCCCTTTCCTTATGATATACTTAAGGCTGCTACTTCCGAGAAGTCAGAAGCAAAAAAACCACAGCTCCATGAAAATACACTGAGGTTTTTTAAAGCATATTAAGATGTGCTTTTGGCAGATAGTATGAGAAGGGGTCTTTATCTTTCTTCTACCAGATCAGTCAATAAAGGTAGAATATAGAGCAGAAATAGTAATAGCTATGATTTAGGGATAATTACGAAGCAATTTATTTTCCATAGTAGAGACTCAGGGAAAGATAATTAACAACAAGAAGTACAAAAAGGAAATACAAATTTGCACTAAGAACAGTTGTCCATATGGAAGATGCTGGTTTATAGAAGTAATAATCCTTCATTCTCACTGCATGATACTTACTTGCCATCTGTGTCTGAAGTAGCTGCATAGTGCAGGGGTGTGCAGCCTCTTTCATCAAGGTCATTCACACTTGCTCCTGATCCCACAAGAGCAAACAGGCACTGGTAATTGCAGTTGGCAGCAGCATAGTGCAGTGGAGATCTTTTGTGCCCATGTTAATATAAAAAACAAAAGCCAGAGACATACACCTGTAAACAAGAGTGTCCATCCACAAATACTGTTTATATCGTGAGGCTGAGATTGATTTTTACCCCACACTAAGTCTTTTGGAGCACTGTACTGAAAGCCAGGAGGAGAGGATCACGTGCCAGAGACCCTTTAAGAACCAGAAATAAGCAGCAGCACAGCTAAATTATTTCACATTCCCTAGATAGTAACAATTCCAGTCTATTCAACGAATTACAGCCTTCATCTGCTGCCCAGAAACTTGAGGACTTTCATTTTAACAAAGGTTCCCTTCTTACTAATAAAAATGTTCCACAGTACAGAGGGAACAGCTTCTGTTCATGTCTCAGTAGAGAAATAAAGGGTAAGCAAAAAAATAGAAGCATTAGAAAGAATGTTCAGTTATATCAACAAATGGTAGAGTTATTATCAGATTTCTCACAAAAAAGGCATAGTTCTGGAGGATGATTCATCCTAAGAATAAGAGCACAGCTATAATTTCTAAGACTGAATATTTGCAGTCTATTTCTTTCCAGTTACTGATATGAAACAAGGCATAATTTTTACTAATACATTTACCTAGTGAAAGGACACTAAAACTTAATTTTATCAAAAAAATCTTATCAAGATATTTCTAAAAATGCAATTAGCCCTGAAATATTTTTAAGCTTCTACAGAGTATGCTTCAGAAGCAAAAAGTGCTTCAAGTGTTATTACTAATATAAGAAATCAAAGTTTAATTACAAAAGCAAATCAACTACAAAAATACTGTATTAGAAAGCTAAACACAGTGACTTTTGATTTTGCCTGGCATCAGTTCCTTCCATTAGCAGGCTTATGAGAGCAGACAACTCCTCAAAGTAATTATGGGCTCAAATAGTAGTATTTTCCCTTTCTTTTTTATATGCATTTGTAATATCCTACGATACATAATTCTATTTACTTATGCAGTGGCCCAATCACATGCACTGAGATATTTACACAAATCCTTGTGACACACACACACACACTCTTTCCTGTAATACACTTTGATATATATGATTCTCAAACTCTTGACACACAGAAATCTGCTAATACTGCCAATTTTAGTTTTCAAACCAATTCAAACTATCTTCAATTCTTTCCTGTATGGTACAAACACACTCTGGGTCAACTCCTATTCAAAGTAATTTAGTAAATAATGGTGGCTCTAAGTATTGCTAACACAAAAGATAGTAGTGAGACTGGGGCTGAAAAATGAAAATAAGAATGACTACAGAGGGACTCTGCCATTTCACATGTCTGCTGCAGATCAGCATGATGGGGTATATGGACATGTTGGCATGTGTACATGTATACGTGGGGAGGTACAAAACAAGGGGAAGAAAAATTACATATATACTTGTAAACTATTTCCTTCCTTTTTCCAGTGCTGTGAAACCACATATGGGCAAAGGTCTAGGTGCTGTATGTTTCTTGAAGGAACCTAGAAGAGTTTTACATTTCCATGGCTATAATTATGGCAGAAGGAATGATATTAATAGCTACAGAGGTGCTCATACAGGAGAGCTGTGGCTCTGACCCCAGTGGAAGAAGATAGTGGGTGAAAATGAGTATTTACAAATTAGCAACTTATTTGACTCTCTCAACAAATCAGGCTCACAAAAGATGTTAAATTGTTCAGCACTAGAAGCCAGTATGAAGGTCAAATGAGTCATCAAGTAAATAACATTAATATGCTTCTATAGAGAAACTGTATCACACCCTACCTCCCAAATTTGTCCTTTTTGTTGAAGTCTGCACCAGTATTCAGAAGAAGGTTTAGGCACTCCAAATTCCTACACAGGGAAAATACAGTTAGAAGACTTAATGGTCAGTAATTTTATAATGAAATTGGTAGGTTTTAATGAATACAAAAGCATGATTTCAAATGAGAGTGAAAATTAATAGACAGCATGATTTATGTTTTATGATATATAAACACATTTTAAAATTCATCTTATCTAAAAGTTAAAAAGTTAGGTACATACATATTGGCACACTGATAGGGAATTAAAAATGAATCACATTGTCACTGTTTAAAAGGAGTTCACAGGCTTCCCTGGTGGCGCAATCTATGACAATCCACAGCCACTGCAATACCAGTTTGATCCCCGCCCAAGGAGCTACCCACATGATGCAGCAGACCTCTCCTGTCTTGCCCGCTGCTTCCCTCAGCAGGGTATTTCAGTAGATCTGCCTGTTCTGTTCCCCACACTGTCTCTGATGAATCCTCTCAACCCCCGCACTTCTGGCCTGTATCCCAGTTCTTGTATGCATAAATAAATAAATCTTTTTTTTAAAAAAAATAAATAAATTTAAAAAAGGAGTTCACATTTACAAGTTCCTGAAGAGTTTTCAGAAATCTTTAAACAAACTTCAAACAACATGGTTATAACTGAATGGTTTCTATTTAGTTGTTTTTAATACTAAAATGAGTCTAAAAAACCAAACTACAAACACAGATATATCTTTAGTTAAAATTGTAGGGGTGCACATTACATGCATGTTACTTCGGTAAACTTAAATTTATAAACCTGAACATCAACTTACAACATAAGTTACAAAGAAAACTAACTGCCAAGTGATCAGACATTCATGTTTGTCTTTTGTCACTCTCTGTAGGGCAAGCAACATGGAAACTAGGGTTTTAAGGTTCTTTGGTGACCTTGGAAGAACAAGAGGACCCAGTCAAAGATTCACACATCAGTTGCAGAGATGTAGAAGCATGCTATTAATCTACTGTCTCTGTTAATCTTGACTCTACATTTATATAAGACATTTAATTCAGGTAACTTATTAAAAGGACGTTTTACTTCACAGACCAAGAATTTTAGGTGAAATTTGTCATTGCTTAGCTTTCCACAGTAGTAATATTTAAAAGTTAGTTCAAAATCTTTTGAGCTCTAATTTTCCTTTTCCTATGTAGGCATGGGCACAGCCAAGACATGAAAGGACAACCAACATTTCCCCTTTGTAATTATGATAAAAAATGCAAACACCTATTTGGAGAATACTAGTTACTTGATGATGTTCTGATGTTACTTATTCAGAAATAATTTTCTCTTCTAGAAAGCATTACTTCTGTATATTTATTCCATCTTTCCCATTTACAACTTATGACTTAAGTAGAAGATGAAAAAAGCAATTTCTTCTATTCTGGACTTTCTTCTCCCAAACCACTCCTGTTACATTTTATTTCTGTTTTGTGGCAGCCCAGAACTAATAAAAATAAACAAAGACAAGAGAAAAACCACTATGGTCAGCTACCCTTCTCTTAGAAAAAGAATGATACTATTAACATACCCTCCAGCTGCAGCTGCATGTAGACAGGTCCTGCCAAAATCATCTGGGGTATCTATATCAAATCCTACAAGAATGAATACACCTTATGTATATTTAATATTACAGATGTTATTTTGTATCATATCAAGAATCACCTCTCAACTACAAACAAAAACATAAATTCCAAATAGGTAAAAATTAATGAAAATAGATTAATAGCATCCAATATTACCAAAATAATTACCACTAAAGAACTGGGACTTTTTTAGGGCAAGTGCTGGAGTACTCATTTAAATGCCACTGGAGACAATGGAATATTTTTCAGCATTAAAAAGAAATAAAGGCATTTATTTCTCAAACCCAAAAGAAGGGGGTCAGTTCTAGACCACTGCAGTAAAGCAAATGTAGAATAAAAATAAAATTCGGCGTGGCAGACCTCTCTTGTTGCGCCTGTTACTCCCCTCAGCAGAGCTTTCAGTCTGTCTGCCTGTTCTGCTCCCCGCTTTGTCTCAGGTGAATCCGCTTACCCTCCCACGCCTCTGGCCTGTACCCCAGCTATTGTATAAATGAAAAGTAAATCTTAAAAAAAAAAAAAAAATTCATGTGCAACAAATCACATGAATGTTTCCCACCACATATAAAAATTAGTTTTACACTATAGTGTAGCCTGTTAAAGCGCGAAAGGATCTGTTTAAAGAAAAAGAACAATGTTGACACCTATACTTAAAAATATTTTATTGCTAAAAAATGCCAACTATCATGAGCTTTCAAAAAGCAGTATCTGTGAAGTGCAATAAAATGAGGTGTCTGTCAATATACTGATACATGTTATATAACATGGATGACCCACGAGAACATTATGCTAAGGGAAAAAAACCAGCCACAAAAGACCACATCTTGGGGGATTACTTTTCTATAAACTGCCCAGAATAGCCATATTCAAAATGGAGACTGTCAATGGTGTTTCTTTTAGGAAAGATGAAATGTTCTAAAAGCGATTGCAGTGATCAAACACCTTTGTGAATATACTAACAAGCACTGGACTCTAACTTGAAATGGGTGAGTTGTATGGTATATGAATTACAATTTATTAAGGCTGTCTTTTTTTTTTTTTAGAAAAAAGACACAAGGAATTGCTACCTATACATTATAACTACCACCGAGAAGAGATTTTCGTGTTCTCTTATAGGCATGTATATATTTTTAAAAAGAACCTCGAAACAGAATTAACTCACTTAAAAAATTTCATTAAGAAAAACTCAGAATTGTCAGTATTACAGTATGTTAATTTTTACTGATACATTCCCATAATCCTTTCAGCAATCATGAATATACAAAATCTATTCAGCTTTCTGAACACAGAATATCACTTAAAATCATATCTTATTATTTAGTAATCCATGCATTCTATAAGTACCATAGTTTTGTAAAAATATTTATAGAAAGCTATTGATCCTATTTTGTTTCAAATTAGTTAAGAGTAATTAGATACGGCAAAATTTCACAAACTCAAAAGATATATATAGAATGGCTACTGTCTTTTAAAAAGCAAGCATACAAATGAAGATATTTTGCTCCTAGACATAAAGGGACAGAAAATTCAAGACCAACATTCAATGAACTGAAGCTTCTCTAGAAGAATTCCACATTCTATTACCTAAAAGAAAGAGGAGGAAATTACTAAATATAAACCTTTCACAGAGCAGAAGAGAAAAGTGAATCTTAAAGGACCGATTATCTTCTAAGAGGGGGTTAAAAAAATTACCCACATTTGGAAATATCTATATGTAATTCTGAAAAAGCACAATAGAAGGATTGTATTAAAATTTGAGGAGCTGGGGTTACAAAAAATTGGAGAATCATGTGGATATATGTTAACTAGACTTACTGTGGCTATCGTTTCAGTGTATAAAAATCAAATTAAGATATCTTACACTAAAATTTGTAAGTCAACTTACACATTAACTGAAAAATTAAAAAATTAGCCTCTGAAGAGTTCACTTACCAGAAGAAAGAAGTTTCCTGCAGCAATCAGAAAAACCACTCAAGGCTGCCAAATGGAGGGGGAACATTCCATGTATGCCACGCCTGAAGTAAATAGGATAGTATCATTGTAACGCAAGAAATAGTCCATCAATTCAGTAAGTTATAAAGAAACTACTTAAAAGTCAAAAGATAATTAGGTGAATCACAATCCATAACACTCTAGAGAGCAATCTGACAAAAAGTTCCAAGAGCAGGGTCTTTCAACCTCAGCTTTATTTCAAGGACTTGGTTGAAGGTATGCATATGCAGCTATCCTGAGAATACAGGACATTCAGCAATATCCCTGGCGCTATCCATACTAGACGCCAGTTAAACACTCTCCCTCTCAAGTGGTGACAATCAAAAATGTCTCTAGCCATTTACCTAGAAAACATCCATTCTCTCCACCGAATGCCATTAAGAATCATTACCACAGGGCAAAATGTGCATATGTTGCTGCAATAATTTTTGTAATAGTAAAAAATAGAAGACAACTTATGTTTGTAAGAAGAATGACTAAATTATTTCTATAATAAATTTTATAAATGAATTAGAGTTATTTACAGAGACGTGGAAAAAGAAAATGCAACTTATATGAACATGGCTAAATAAACAACTTCATGTAAAAGTAACAGTTGCAAAAAAGGCATATAATGCTATTTAGAGAAAATTAGATTTAAAATGAGTTTATAAAAGTGTGATAAAAATTAACATAGGAATGATAAACACTGATTTAAGTAGGATGTTTATTACTATAGAGCATGCAAGAGAATCCATCATTTAAATAAAATCTCACATAACAACTTCAATACAGAAAATAAAAGTGAGCTTTTTTATGAAAGTATGAGGCAAGGGATCCATTGTAGTCACTACCAAGAAATCCTGAGCTCAGCAGCAGAGTCTGAAAACCAATTTTTTTTAATTTAAATTTTATTTTTATATCCCCCTTACAATTACAACCCCCTTATTTCCCCGACCCCCAGCCCCCATAGTGTCTGGAGTGTCTCTGGTTCATAGTTGTTTGTTGATTTTGATATTTTCTTTCTTATAGTTATTCTTTTTCCTGGTCCCTTATTTAAGTTTTCTAGATTCCTGCTATGAGTGAAACCATCCGGTATTTTTCTTTTTCTTTCTGGCTTATTTCGCTGAGCATGATCCCTTCCAGCTCCATCCATGTTGCTGCAAATTGCATGTGTTTATCTTTTTTTGAATGCTGAGTAATATTCCACGGAGTATATGTACCACATCTTCTTGATCCAGTCATCTATTTTTGGGCATTTGGGTTGTTTCCAAAGCTTAGCTATTGTAAACAGTATTGCTATAAACATAGGGGTGCAGGTGCTCTTTGGAATTGATGTTTCTGTGTCCTTTGGGTAACTACCTAGGAGTGGAACTGCTGGATCATATGGAAGCTCCATCTTTAGCAGGCTGAGGAATCTCCACACAGCTCTCCATAGTGGTTGGACCAGTTTGCACTCTCACCAGCAGTGCAGGAAAGTTCCTTTTTCTCCACAACCTCGCCAACATTTGTTGTTGCTAGATTGTTTAATATGTGCCATTCTCACTGGTGTAAGATGGTATCTCATAGTAGTTTTGATTTGCATTTCCCTGATGATAAGTGATGTTGAACATTTTTTCATATGCCTGTTGGCCACTTGCATTTCCTCTTCAGAGAAGTTTCTTTTTAGCTCTTCTGTCCATTTTTTGACTGGATTATTTTCTTTGTTTTTGTCGAGTCTCATCAGCTCTTTGTAGATTTTTGTGATCAGTCCTTTATCATTAGTGTTGTGTGCAAAAATGTTCTCCCAGTCGGTGGGGTTTCTCTTTGATTTGGTTATTGTCTCTTTTGCTGTGCAGAAGCTCTTTAATTTGATGTAGTCCCAGCTGTTTATCTTTGCCTTCACTATCACTGCTTTGGGTGATGTGTCTGTAATGTTGTCTTTGATGTGCATATCACGTAGTGTTTCGCCTATATTTCCTTCTATGTATTTTATGGTTTCAGGTCTTATGTCTAGCTCTTTAATCCATTTTGAGTTGGTTTTTGTGCATGGTGTGAGGTAGTAGTCAAGATTCATTCTTTTGCATGTAGCGACCCAGTTTTCCCAGCACCATTTATTGAACAAACTTTCTTTGCTCCAATGCATATTCTTTGCTCCTTCGTCAAAGATTAGTTGACTGTAAATCCGTGGGTTTATTTCTGGATTTTCTATTCAATTCCATTGGTCTGTGTGTCTGTTCTTGTTCCAGTACCATGCAGTTTCGATGATTATGGCTTTGTAGTATAGTTTGAAGTCTGGGAGTGTGATGCCTCCATTCCCTTCTTTTTTTTTTTTCAGGAGAGCTTTGGCTATTTGGGGTTTTTGGTGATTCCATATGAATTTCATCAATAATTGTTCTATTTCTTTGAAGAATGACATTGAAATTTTTATAGGAATAGCACTGAATCTGTATATTGCTTTTGGTAGGATGGCCATTTTAATTATGTTTATTCTTCCAATCCATGAGCAGGGGATGTCTTTCCATTTCCTTGTGTCTTCTTCTATTTCTTTTAACAATGTTTTATAGTTTTCTTTGTATAGGTCCTTTACCTCTTTTGTTAGATTTATTCCCAAGTATTTGATTTTTTTTGTTTCAATAATAAAAGGGATGTGTTTTTTTGATTTCTTCTTCAGATTTATTGTTTGTGTATAGGAAGGCTACTGACTTTTGCGTGTTGATTTTGTATCCTGCCACTTTACTGAACTGATTAGTTGAATTAGATTTTCTGTGGAGTTTTTGGGGTTCTCTATGTATATTATCATATCATCTGAAAATAGTGATAGTTTGACTTCTTCTTTTCCTATTTGGATTCCTTGTATGTCTTTCTCTTGGCTTATTGCTCTGGCTAGGACTCCCAGTATTATATTGAAAAGCAGTGGTGAGAGTGGATATCCTTGTCTTGTTCCAGATCTTAATGGAAATGCTTTCAGTTTTTCGCCACTGAGAATGATACTGGCTGTTGGCTTGTCATGTATGGCCTTTATGATGTTGAGGTATGTTCCTTGTATCCCAAGAATTTCAAGGGCTTTTATCATGAATGGGTGTTGCACTTTGGCAAAAGCTTTGTCAGCATCTGTTGATATTATCATATGTTGAAAACCACTATTTTTATAGATAGTATTTAGATGAAAAAGTACTCAGTGTGAAATGTTTTTTGGTGGGTTTTTTTTTTCTAATCTTAGATTAACACCATAAAAATTAAAGGCTCTGATCAAAACAGCATTATTACTCATAATCTAGAAAGAACCGGGGTAGAAACATGTAAATAAACTCTAAGCTGGCTTACCAAATGAAATTGTATTAAATATTTTATCACACTGTCAGCACAAAAAGGAGAGTTCAAGCAATTAGTATAATACTGAGCTCAAAATTCACATTTTTCTCAAAATATCAAGAAAACTGCAATTCTCTTCCTTCTGTGCTTCCCTGTCACAGTTATCAACATCTTTGTAAGTACTTACTTTGCAGTGTCAGCACCACTTGTAATAAGAGTGTTGATTAGCAGCTCATGGCCATACCGTGCTGCTATGTGCAAAGGGGTGTTTCCATTCTTATCTTCACAGTCGATTACAGCTCCTGCAACAAAGAACATAGGATCTGACACTGAACTACATAAAGATCAAGTCAAACCTATTATGTGTAAGTAACATAAAACTGCATTCAAGCACAAACTAATGGGTACAGCAATTTAACTAGATTTCATTCAGAGAACATTTATAGGGCCAGGTGCTCAGGTTATAGGTTACTTAAGAAGGTCTGTAAATTGAGCACAGATTTTTAACAAGTTTGAAAATGACAAAAAGGTTCTGGAGCCCGTAAGTTTGGAAATCACCATATTAAAACTAAATTGAAAACAATTCTTCAGAGCAAGACTATTCAGAGCTTTAATGTACACACTGTATGCATTAGGGTATAATTAGTGCTTAACTAATTATTTGACCATGAACCTACACCTACTTTCCCCTGCAAAACCATCACACCTATTATGTTGATGACAAATACTAAACAGTTCCTTGGAACATGGTTTGGGAAACATTGCTTTAAAGAACTGCAATTTAAATTCTTTTTATTTAAAAGGTTAGCTGAGCTAATACTTCAAATGCAAAAGCATACAAGTTAAAAAATACATAAAAATCCTACAAAGAATTCAAAATATTCAAAAGGAGAAAAGGTATATGCAAGAGTTTTGTTAATCTATAATACAGACAGCAGTTGTAAGTTAATTTTAAGAGAAGTCAAAAATTGAGAAATAAAACAAAAGTAAATGAAAAACAACTATGAAAGGTACGTATTCATGGGATATAGTACTTATTATTTGATTTTCATAAACTCTGATAGAACTGAAAATATCCAGACTGTTATGACAATTCCACAATACCATTCATTTTGAAGATTTTTTTTTCTACATTTAAGAAAATAAACAAACAGAAATACTTTTTACCACTCTGGATAATGGTTTGTGATCTGGAGAATCTACCGTGGAGGGCAGTCATGTGCAGTGGGGTTTTCCCATCTTTGCTCTGGGGGGGTAGGGTGGGGGGAAAGAAATTTGAAATTAGTGTAATATCCATAATATTTAATCCTTAATTTTATTTTGAATATTCTCTTGCATCTTTATTTTGTACAATTATTACTCAAGCATTAAGTTAAATTGAATGCCTAACGAGGTAAAACAGCTGTTCAGAATTACAAACTAATTTTTTTAGCATGTGTATCTTAAAGCGCAAACATATAAAAAAACTCAATGTTTATAGTATAAATCAAGTATTTGGTGTATTTTATCTGACCAAAATTTACAGAAGAACAGGGTGGTATGGAAAAGGAATATGTGTTAAGCAGTACAATCAATGCAGTTGAACTGATATTACTTAAGGTTCTAAAAACCAGACACAAATTATCTTTTAAACTTCAGTCATTTTACCTCTATGTAGTACTTTGTAAAACAACCAATTAAAAAAACACAGGCAAATGTCAAGGTAAACTTAGCTCCTTAATCAAGCAATAATTTTATAATCATTTGATAATTATCAATTTGACAAAAATAAGAAATGCAGTTGCAGTAATGAAGACATATTCTTTGGTTAACTCATTGCCATCAGTAATTTCAAAGCTAGATAATTACTTAGAAGTCATTAACAACATAGTAAATGTGTACTTAGAATTACTGGTTAGAGGACAGTTATACAAACCAATGCAACGAAAAATAACCAGGAAAGCTATAGTTACATCTGATAAGACAGACTTTCAATTAAAAAAAAAAAGTAAAAAGAGGTAAAGAATAATTATGATGATTAAGGGTTAAAGACAACAAGAAGCAGTAACACATAAACACGTACGCAATGAATGATGGATGGAGCACCAAGACAGGTAAGACAATAACAGAACTTCAGAGATACTGATAACCCAATAATTCTAGGAAACCTTAATATCCTACTTAAAAAATGGACAGATCAACAAGATAAAGTATAAATAAGGAAATATCAGCTCTAAATGAGGAACTAGACCAGACAGCTATAGAACACTTCACCCCAAAACTAATACATACTCGTTTTTTTTCCCCCTCGAGGATAGGGAACATCTTTAAGATATACCATACCTTGGGACTCAAGTCAATAATCAAAACTACGAGGACTAAAATTATTCCTAGTACCTTCTCTGACCACAATGTCATAAAACTAGAACTACAGGGGGGGAAAAAACCCATAAAAACATGGAAATTAAACAACATGTTTCTTAGTAGCAATTACATAAGAGGAAATCAAAACAGAAATTAGAAAAATATCTAGACTAACAAAAATGATGATACAAGTTACCAGAATCTATGGGATGCAACAAAAGCTGTCTTAAGGGGAAAAGAATTGTACAACAGGCCATATTAAAAAGCAAGAAAAATCTTAAACATCACATCTAAAACAACTTGGAAAAGAATAAGTAAGACATTAAGTTAGCAGAAAGATTGTAATAATAAAAATAAGAGTGAAAATAAATGCAACAGAGATTAAAATAAGACCACTTCCCCCTCCCCCCAAAACACCTACAACATTGGAACCAATAGCAAGTTCTTTGAAAAGATAAAACAGATAAGCCTAGGCTAACAAAAAAGAAGAGAAGACATTGAATACAAGTTATCACAAATGAAAGAGGAGAAATCACTATAGATAGCACAGAAACAAAAGATTTTAAGAGATTAGGGAAAAGAACAAGAGAACACAGGAGATGGGGGAGAGGAAGGAAAAAAAAAAAACTAGAAACATAACAGAAGGAAACACACTAAACATGTTAAAGGACATAACTAACATCATACTCAGTAGAGAAAGACCATTTTCCCCTAACGTCAGGAACAACAGAAAGACACAACCATATAAACTAATATGCAGACATGCCCTCCTTATTCCATGAAACTTAATATTTAACATACAAAGATGATTTTTGCTATAATCACTTTATCATAAATAAGTGTTATAGACACAAAAATTTTGACTGGGTACTTTTCTTTGGAGGAGTATTATAATTTAAAAATTTATTATTTTTATTTTATTTTATCTTTTAAAGATTTATTTTTATTTATTTATTTATACAAGCACTGGGTACAGTTAGAAGCGCGGGAGGGTGAGAGAATTCACCAGAGCCAGAGCGGGGAACAGAGCAGGCAGAAGGACCGAAGTACACTGCTGAGGGGAGCAGCGGGCAGCAGGAGAGGTCTGCGCGCCATGTGGGGCCCTTCTCCGGTGGCCGGGGAGCAGACGGGGATCGAACCGGCGCTGCAGAGGCTGCGGGCAGCTTTGCAACCCAGCGCTCAACCGCTGTGCCACCGGGGAGGCCTATTTTTAAAGATTTCTTTCTTTTTCTTTCTTTTTTTAAAAAAGATTTATTTATTTACTTATACAAGCACTGGGTACAGTCAGAAACACAGGAGAGTGAGAGAATTCACCAGAGCGGGAAACAGAACAGGCAGACTAACAAAATACATTGCTGAGGGGAGCAGCGGGCGCAGAAGGAGAGGTCTGCGCACCATGCGGGACCCTCGCTGGTGGCCAGAGATTGAACTGGTGCTGCAGAGGTTGCGGGTAGATTCACAGCCCAGTGCTCAACTGCTGCACCACCAGGGGAGGCCCAAAGATTTATTTTTATTTATTTGTGCATACAAGAACTGGAATGTAGGCCAGAGGTGCAGGGGGTGAGAGGATTCACCACAGAGTGGGGAGAACAGGTGGATCTACTGAAATACACTGCTGAGGGGAGCAGCAGGTGAGACAGGAGAGATCTGCTGCGCCATGTGGGTCACCTCCCTGGTCAGGATTGAACTCTTGTCACAGTGGCTGGCCATAGTTTGAGAGTACTGAGACTTTAACCCCTGTGTCACTAGGGAGGCCTTAAAATTTATTTTTGAAATAGCCTAGTATTCCTTTAAAAATATTATTAGGCCTTTAAGGAAACAAGTGTCAAATCTGTTCCCCTCCAAAATCCAAGGAGGAATTCATCAAATCAATGTAAGTAGTTTAAACCCATTATCAATACATTTTTAGTAATCTAAAGAGGTTTAGGGGATTTGTTGAGGACTGAAAGCTTTAAATGTACATTAAAAAGGCACTTGAATCGTAAGTATAAAGTAGGGGTTCTTCATGATATTCATGCCTTCCCTTGGGTGTGATGTGTATAAATTTTGCTTCTTAGCTGAGAGGGCAATTTAGAATGACCGAATTACAGATGACCCTACTGCTGCTATAGCTTTCAGGATGGGTGACTGGCATCACTAAAGGTTTTTCAGGCTTCTCTAAAGTTAAAGAGGTAAGAAAATGGACTCCTTTCTCTAAGTCTGTAAGACACTGACTTTATCATATCTACAAAAGGTGCTGGATCTTAAGTGATTAAAGCTCTGAAAACCACATTTTAAGCTTAAATGTTTTTACTAATCCTAAATGGTTCAATTTTGTTTAGTTTTTATTTCTTCCTATCATAAAAATATGGCCTAAAACAAACATTCAAAGAATGAATTGACAAACACAAAAGCAATCAGTGAACACATCTTGGAAAATGTAAAATGATGATTACACATTACAAAGTAGTGGTGATGAAAATCTTGGTTGCATGTGTTTCTTTTTTTTCCCCACAGAATTATACAATAGAAAGTACATTTATTTTGGCCCTAGAATTTTCACATTATTTCTAAAATTCAAATGGTCTCTCTTGAAAGCCATTGTGACCAAAAGCTAAAAAGCAACTATTCTTATGTACAACACACTGATTCGGTCAAAACACATTCGGTCTTTGGTTAGTGTTTTAATTCTTCCAATACTGTTAAAAATTTCCAACAAGAACAGCTGAAAGAAATTTCACAGTGAACTCCACCCACACATACCACCAGGGACCTACAGTTAATATTTTACTTTCTATGCTTTTTCACATATCAATCTCTTCATCACACTTTCTAATTATTTTATGCGTCTCAAAGCTATTACCTCCAAATACTGCGGTAAGCATATCATGAACTAGGGCTCATCATCTACTTGACTTTTTACCTTCTAAGGGAAAACTTACAAGCACTGAAGTGACTAAATCTCAAAATATATATCACTTCCCGAATTTTGACAAATATTTATTTACATAACACAGAGTTTATCAAAATGCAGAACACCATCATTCAAGAAAGATCCCCGGAATCCTATTTTCCTCAGTCCTTACTCTCAGAGGCAACTATTCTATAGAATCTTCTTTTTTTTTTTTTTTAAGATTTATCTATTTATTTATACAAGCACTGGGCACAGTCAGAGGCGCAGGAGGGTGAGAGAATTCACCAGAGCCAGAGGGGAGAGTAGAACAGGCAGAGTGACGAAGTACACTGCTGAGGGGAGCAGCGGGCGGCAGGGGAGGTCTGCGTGCCAAGTGGGACCCTCGCCCGGCAGCTGGGGATCGAACCAGCGCTGCAGAGGCTGCGGGCAGCCTCGCAACCCAGTGCTCAACCACTGCACCACCGGGGAGGCCCATATAGAATCTTATATAAATGTAGATAGTGTGTACATACTTGTATAAGGCTTTCACTGAGCACCCGTGTAAGGTTCATGTGTGTTGTATCAGTAGTTTATTCCTTTATATTGCTGACTAGTATTTGTTACTGACAATATTTTAAACAGTGAACTGCTAAATACAACAAGTATAGATTCTGATTATTTCGTACCTTCATATTGACATCGGCCCCATTGCCAACTAGAAGCTCTAAACACAAAGCTCCATGTGTAGATGCAGCAGCAAAGTGTAAAGGAGTAAATCCTTTTTCATTCTTCTGATTTACATTAGCACCACAGTCTATAAGTTCATTCACTACAACATCCTGTCCATTGTAGCAGGCTACATGCAGAGGCGTATTTCCATAGGCATTTGGTTCATTCATCTATTGGGAGAAAAATATAAACATTAAAGTAGTTTCCTTGTGAGTTGTTTTAGCAATGTCGTGGCTGCAATCAAATTAAAATGAGGGGGGAAAAGGGAAAAATACACTAAGGCTTAAGTTCATCGTTCAAAATAATAATAATTAGCAATAAACATTTTGGTGTTAAACTTTGTACATTCAGGGTATATAATTCACACATACAATGTCTACTTCATAGCAAAACTGAATTATTCTAAGAGTCATTGCAGGAAAAGGAAAGCTAAAATAATGTAATTTAAAAAGCCTATTAGGTAAGGACAATTCTAGAATTCACTCTAAAAATCGTGAAACATGAACATAAAGGGAAAACTCTGAGGTATATTCAACAACATACATATTTTCAAGCCTTTTTACTTTGTAGTGCCAAAAGATTAAAGTTAGTGATGAAACAAGAGATTAGGAATTTAAAAAAGTTGAGTGCCACCATTTCATATTTATTTATTGGTATTTTAGGTATTTTTAGCCTTACATGTTGACATTTTACCAAAATGAATATGCTCAAAAGAATGCATTCAAAATGGGAGACAATTCTTATGCAACTCATGTTTCTTTTTCCTTTTGCTTCTAATAAATGAGTGTGTTTTAACATTCACATGACTTTTATGTAGTAAGGAATTTGACATTGGCCCAAGGATTTTGGGAGGTAATCTATGGCATATCTCATAGTAATGTCCTTGTTAAGGGTGGGAACTGGGTGCAATGCACTTGAGGACTGGCCCCCACAAAGAGTTTTAGGGTAGGCGCTTTGGATCACTCAGTGGACTTGGAGACTGAAATCAACTATGTGGGCAGTCAATCATTCACGCCTATATAACAGAACTCAAAAAAAAAAACCTGAAAATGAAGCTCAAGTGAACTTTTCTGATTGGCAATACTATGTGCATTTTGTCATACACAGTTGTTGGAGGAGTCTTAAATCCATGGGCTGAGGACAATGGAAGCTTTGTTTTTAGAGTACTCCTATACTCTGTCCTATGTATGTCCCTTCCTTTGGCTGATCTTAATTTGTATCTTGTATATATAATAAGTCATTACTATGAATACAAGAGCTTTCAGTGAGTTTTTGAAGTCCTTATAATGAGTTATCAAATCTAAAGGTGGTTTTGGGGAAGTCTTGTGTGGACCTTGTAAAACCACAATTTTATTGAACATGCTCTGTTCTGAGTTCCTGGTAACAGAAATTTAAGGAAGCGAAAAAGTAATTATTTAACTTTATTTAAAGTATCTAGATCTCATCACCCAAAACTAGGAGATACAGGATGGATACCCTCTCAGACCTTCCAGAACTTTGAAATTAAGTTTGTTTTAAGCCACTTATTTTGTGGTAATTTGTTATGGCAGCTCTAGGTAACTAATAAATTATACAGCAGGATGCCACACTTCCAGATATGGCTCTAAGTCTGACCATTACTTTTGAAGAACACTTTGACGCAAGTTTACAAATGTTAAATTATTGTCAAAGAAGTTTTTAAAATTGCACCAGAATGGACTTGAAACCATGATCAAAAACAAAGTTGTCTTATTTACATCAGTGGTCTTTTAAAATATTATTGTTATATCGTTGAAACAGAGCTATAAAGAACGACTGAGTTGCAGTAACATTGCATTCTGCAAGAATCCTACCTAACGTGTGTTTGGATTTTGCCACTTCTCATGTTCCCCACACTTTCAAATAACTACTTGCTTGCTTTTGGCAAAGTGCTTCATATGGTCTTACATTATGAGACTGCCGAGTTCTACAGTTCTGGTAGGCATTCCTCATCCACCAGACTATCACCTACTTTTTTGTTTGATTTTGGCTGCTGATCTAAACTGCCTCCCTTTAGTAGAGCCTTACCCTTTCCCCTTCTAATTTTCTGCTTTTAACCTGTGTTTTGATGCATCAGCTGAATATGTCAGAATTGGACCTAAAATACGAGCAAATATATTAAGCATGGGAATAAAGTACATGTGCTTTAAAAGTACAGCCTGTGAAGGATACAGAAATTCTTAGCTATCTAATTTAGAAATCAAACACACTAAGATACATCAGCAACTCTTCCTAAGCAAAAAGACTCAGGTAGTAGGGGACAATTACTTGATGAGAAAGAAGATTCTAGTTTTTCTGCCTAGCACTTGTCAATATCCTATAATGCAAACTGCTAGAGTTTTAAAAAGAACTGTGCAAATAAGATTCTCAAGAATGGAGCCACTTAGATAAAATAATGCACGTGTCTCATTTGCTAGTCTCCACAGCTGAAGTGGAGCTACAGGACATGGAATGTGATGGAGAAGACAAACTTCTGTTGGTCATTCATTTTTGAGTGTTTTTTAATGCTTAACATACTTAGACTAAGTATATGTGTTGACCAGATGTTGGTGCACTATATATTATATAAAGGACTACAAAATAGCTAGTTAAAAGACAAAAACATTATATTGAAATCTTTTAAATTTGAAATAACTTCTGTCAGCAATGAAACTGCAAATACATAAAATACTCCATCCTTTTATACTATCTGATCTATATACGTACATCAACTCCAAGATCTAGAAGGTACTTGACTACACTGATCATTCCACTAGAAGCTGCTGCATGAAGAGGCGTGTAAGACTTCTTATCCTTGCATGTCACTTCAGCTCCGTGCGTCACAAGTAATTTCACTACTTCAGTGTGACCTGAAAACATGTTCATGAACAATGAAGAGATGAGCATATTTTAAGTATGAAATATAACTATCTTTAAATTCTTCAAAAAAAGGTAAAAATGTAAATTAACTAGATAGTGTATAGTAAGTCATCATTAAATCACATTATAACTGGAAAGAAGACAGAAGATGGAATTAGATACCTAATTCAGAAATCAAATACATTAAGATACATCAGCAACCCTTCCTAACCTAACAGACTTAAGTAGTAGGGGATAATTACTTGGTGGGCAAGTATTAATTTTTGAAGCTATTTTTCTAATGATAAAATACAAAAACATAAGAAAACAAATGAACTCATATCAGTTATTAGCAATACCAAGGTCCAGGAAAATCCTTTGCATATAATTGAAATAGTTAAAAGTAGTAAAATTCACCTTCAATTTTAAGTCCCATCTTTAGATATAAAGGAAGATTGAAAATGAAGGTTACTGAAAGTTAACAGTTTCCTTGCCAGATGTCCTTTTTTGAAAACCAAAAGCTGAAAATATTTGGCTTTGGGGTTTCTCTCACACCAAATGTTTGTGCCTCTAATTTTGTCATGGGCAATTTGCTTCAGTTAATTGAAGGTAAAATATCCAGAAGTCTCTTGTAGAGCTCTACAATGCTCTAGTCACAAAGCTATATAGGTTTGGGGTGGTCAATTTTCCCATGAGCTATATTAGGTTTATAAAGCAATTCTGCAGATCCTTAGGACTTTTCAAGAAAACACACATCTTGTCATACAACCTAAGCCTGTTACAAAAATTAAACATGGCTATACCTATTTAACTTGACGCTTGGTCCAAGTAACAGACTTCTTAACACATCGTCATAACTTCTACTTAGTATTTCCAAAAAAAAAAAAAAAAAAAATGAATGGGCTCTGAGGACAGACTTTTAATAAACACAAATCCTAAATAATGTACCTCAGATTTGTGTCTAAACATATCTCTCCCTTTGAAAATAAATAATTAATTATAGTTCTTAGACCAGGACCCAAGCACTCCTGTCCTGGCAAACCTCCAATACTAAGCTGATTCCATTTGGGAAACAAACTGAGATATGGTCTAACTTCTCAGTATGCCAAAAGAGAACTATTATGCAAAACGGAAGAACTAAAATGTATGGCTTTTCTTGAAAACAGGATGTCAAAAACTAAAAAGTACCTACCCATATATGCAGCCCAATGGATTGCACGTCTATCCTTCTTGTCAAAAGCATTAATATTGGCACCTCTAGACAAGAGTAGTTTGACCATCTGGAATAAAAACAAATACATTTCCATCAAAATTCAGAAGCAGAACTGCTCATGAACATGCTTTTTGATGACTACTTATCTTAATCTCTCTGGTACTGAATTTCTTTATTTGTAGAAAGGACCTAGAAGAAATTCTGAAGACTCTAACATAATTTAATGAGTAATATGACAAAATATAAAAAAGAGGTCACTGTTATTGAAGTCAGGCACTACTCTCTCTCAAGGATGCCCCTTTATGTCATGGTTTTTTACAAGCAACTATGCACAAATTTGGATGGTCTAAATGTGCAATATTTAACAACAGATTATTAAAACTGGACTTTTATTAAGAAACAAAAGTGTTATTTAAAATGTAAAGTGTAATCTCATTGCGAAAGTGTTTTAAATTTAATTCAAACACAAATATAGTATCCACAATGTGATTAGACCTGAAGGTCACTTCATGGTCTGCTTACCTTGTAATGTGCCAAGAATAATATTTCTATTATGCCTAACCATAATGTTTACAATAGTTCCCCCACTGGAAAGGACATTCCAGATTTCAAAAAGGGACATATCTTGTGACCTTAACTGTAGTGCAGGCAAGGATTCTTTATCTTTATGCTGCAAAAGCAGAGAAGAACAGTGAAAACAACACTGCAGCCATAAGCTCTCAGCCAGACTCTTGGGAAAGTCAATTTATCTGAGTTTCTGTGCCTGCAACAAAAATAAAGGACTGGACAAACTGGTCTCAAAAGCTCTTCTAATTCTGTGTTTCATTCTTTACTAAGTCTTCTATGTACTTAATAAACCTCACTCTCTGCTAATGACAACAACTAACATAGGCAATACTTGTTGTATATAATAACTAAATATTATTAACTTTTTGAAACTGCTTTCTTTTGATGGTCTGTCACCTAAGAATTCTTAACTAAATGCTGATAATAAATTATAAGAAAATGTTTTTTCTAAACTCCACCTTCCTGTGTTACTATCTATCTAGGAGGGTAATGAAATTGCTCTATCTTCCTAGATTTATTTTTCCACAATGACAGAACACACTTTTTACAGTGTTAGAGTTGGTTTTTTACACTGTGTTAAGAGTTGGCAGTGTCTTCTAAACGGACTACGAAATTCAAGCACAAGGGCTGTATCTACTTAATAAATTTCTAAATTTCACAAAATTATCATGGAAAGAAATGCAAGTTTGCTAAAGGCAAAAGTAAGCAAAAATTAGCAATATCACTATTTATATGTGCTTTATCATGAACTGATGAATGGCTAAAAAAGCAAGTTCACTAATAAGTGACAGGTGGAAAGATTCAGGGAAACAGAATCATTGTCTAATTAATATTACCTACCTCACCGTGTCCACTGAAAGCTGCATGATGTAAGGCAGTTCTCCCTGCTCGATCAGACACGTTTACATTACTCAGAACAGGTACCAAAGCTTCAGCACACTTTACAGCTTTATTGGCAGCAGCTATGTGTAAAGGGGTTTGCCAATTTTTGTCTCGAGCATTAACATCGGCAGAATGCTTCAAAAGTACCTGTACTGCCTCCTATAACATGGTATAAAAATTATAAAAGACAGTTTTAGAAATTTTATATACATGAAGGAAATAAAATCAGTTCTAGTAGAACATACTCTAAACAAATAGGATTTTACCCAAGAAAACCAAATATTCTGAACTAAAGGCAGTACTCAGTCATATAAGATCTATCAAGATAGAACATTCCCTTTTTCTAGCTTTCAATTAAAGGTCTAACCATCTCAAATGTGCAGGAAAAAATGCTGACAAATATTCTTCAAAAACATTCACTACTTCTCTTGTTTTTCTGGATGGCAAGATACAATTAATATATACTCTGAGAAGCCTGAAGGAATGGATTTATCACTGTGCCATTAGATAATTATAAAATATAGTATTTCCTTACGTATCACACATGCTATTTTTCTGCACAATGAAAACCCCCCTATGATACAGTTTATTTTATTAATAGAGCAAGAAAGAGAGGGACACAGAGACATATACACATACACAAAGCTTTGCTGTGATGCTACCTGGCAGGAAGGCAATGTAGCACAATTTACTGTTCGAAGGATCTGTCTCCCAGAAGCACCAAGAAAACTTCACAATACATCTATAAATTGGACTCATGGCAATATTCTAAAGAATGCAGTATGCCATCAACAAACATTAAGCACTGAATCAAAACTAAATGTAGCTATAATGTTCTCATTACAGTGATAATCTTATCTTTGGTAGATAAACAACAAACTATACATAACAATGAAAAAAATAAGAATCATATCAGTTCTGTTATTTTCAAGGTCTGATAATTCAACTCCAGTAAAACTGACCCTCAGTTTTTTTACTCTAAAAAGAGGGAGAATACTTCCTGTTTACCACTCTTCTTAAATCTGCAAGAAAGCTGAAAATTAAATGTGTAAGTATAAAATAACCATAGGTGTGCAAAGCAGCCTGGAACATGAAATAAAACACTAACAGTGATTCACTATTAGTGAAAATAGGTTTTTAAGCTTCTGAAATAAAAAGTAATCAGAACCCTCTGAAATAGGGGAAACAACACAAGTATTTAACGGATCTGACAAAAGACTGGAGAGATGCCCAGAAATCTATTAACCTGCTAAGAAAGTTGGCCAGCTAATCATAGATATACAAATATCTACTCTAATATCCTGCAATTCCACTCCAGTTATTTACCCAAAAGATACTTTTAAAAAGCCCAGCCAAGAATGCTCATATTAACTTTATGTATACGACCCCAAAACCTGAAATCCAAATGTCCATCAACAGAAAAACTGATAAATTATTGAATATCCATAAGATGGACTACTACTCAGCAATAAAAAGGAGTGCTCCAGTAACGCACAGAATGACACGGACAATTCTCAAAAATGTTACACTGAATAAACAAAGCCAAGACACAAGACTTGATTCCATTTTTATAAAGTTCTAGAAAAGGTAAAATTACTTGATGGTGAGAGATCAGAATAGTGGTTGTTTCTGGGGACAGAAAAGGTTACCTGAGAGACCATGATTAGGAAAAGTCGCATAGTGTATACGTTTGTCAAAACTCAATACACAAAGGAGTATTATACCTTTGCCAAATTTCAAATCTGTGAATTTTGTTTTAAATGATTTACAAAAAGGAATATGGGGAGAAACATATAGAGGAATATGGACCCAAATTATGGAAAACAAGGTACACACTATCAGGATTTTCCATCCTTATCCTCAAGAAGGGTGTATTGTAACTTGTGGAATAAAAAAAAATATAATGCCACACCAGGATTTGTCAGTAGGTATGTTAATGGCTGCACTAGAAAATAATTAAAAACAAAATGAAGAATTTATAATAGGATAAACTGGGCATATGCAGTTATAGATGACAGGCTTGCCTTATCTATTCCCAGTCTGGAATTCACAATGTATACATTAAAACTTCTGAAAAGTCTCGGGAATATTTATGACATTAGCAATGTTAAAAAATTCAAACCAAAGTAAGTATAAATCCAAATTATGGTAGGTAAGACAGTCTTACCTAAATTTTCTAACAGTTATATTAATTATGAGTTATAATATCACAGTCCAGAAATTTTTAGGCTGAAGGATAGGCTTCAGAAACTTGCCTGGATCATTGCTTTTTAACTTATATATTCTTAAATTCAGGCTAAGGATGTAGTTTTTGTTTTCTTTTTTTAATGAGCAGTCATCAAGTCTTTGCATGGAACCTGCAATCTTCCTTATAAGTATTACTTTTTAAAAGAATATTTGGTCTGCTTTACAATCTCTGCAAATATATAATGTGAGTGCAAAGAAAGTATTCTTTTTATTTAATTTGGCAAAACTCCACTAGTTTTAAAAAATATATTCCCAAGAGTCATAACAGTAAGTGTATAGTAGAACTAACTTATTAATAAAGTTTCAAAGATGATAATGTTTACCTTCCTTAACTGCTTTTACTTTAAAAAACCAAAACTTCTTTACAGAGAGCTAAGCACAAATTTAGTAACATTACCAGAGAATTTGAGTTCATCCACTGGCTGCATGTAGGGTGAGGGATGTAGAGGAGAACAGCCTCTACGTTCTGCAGGACACTGGAGAGCAAGTACCTCTCTGCTATTGGGACAACGAGGCAAGCTCAATTCCTCCACTGAACAAAGTAGCATGGGCTTCGTTAATCATGAAGTCATAGACCAGAGTGGGAGCATGAAGAATGGGAAGCAAAGGGGGGGGCGGGTAGTCCAATTAACTATGGTGGAGGATTACTAATGCTTTGGTAGTAGGGATGGTGTGGTGACATATATCTGAATAACTGTGAATCTATACCCCTAAATTATATATATAAACTGATGTTACCTCAATTTTTAAAAAGAATTTCGGTGTTCAAAATATTCATATTTATACCATTTTTCTTAACCCCCAGATATGTATAAGACTGAAGAGCTAGAATGTTGCAAGTGACCCAGTTTCCCCAAATCCAGATTCTACAGTTTATTGTCTATAGTATATCAAGAAACTACATCTGAGTTTAGAAGCGTGCTTGCAATACCTATTATTCCCTCGCTCCTCCTTTTCTTTTTAAGATTTATTTATTTACATAAGAACTGGGATACAGGCCAGAGGCGCAGGAGAGTGAGAGGATTCATCAGAGACAGAGCAGGGAGCAGAACAGGCGAGACAGGAGAGGTCTGCTGCGCCATGTGGGATTCTTGCTGGCCGGCCGGGAATCGAACCCACACTGCAGAGGCTGCGGACAGCTTCACAGAGCTGCACCCAAACTGCTGCGCCACCAGGGAGGCCCCTCTCCTCCTTTCAAGTCTGAGGCTCTAGTTAACAGATTGTCTCTGTCACAAGGCAGGGTACCCAGTTATTTTTTGCCTTTATTTCTCTTCACCTGTATACTTTTTTTTTTTTTTTACTTTTTCCTATATTTTTAAATTTTTTTTAAAAAAGATTTTATTTTATTTATTTATACAAGCACTGGGTACAGTCAGAAGCACGGGAGGGTGAGAGAATTCACAAGAGCCAGAGCGGGGAACAGAACAGGTAGACCGATGATATACACTGCTGAGGGGAGCAGCAGGCGGCAGGAGAGGTCTGCACGCCATGTGGGACCCTCGCCAGGTGGCCGGGGATAGAACCGGCGCTGCAGAATCTGCGGGCAGCTTCGCAACCCCACGCTCAACTGCTGCGCCACCGGGGAGGCCCTATTTTTAAATTTTTTTTTGAACAATATTTGCTTCCCCTCCACCCGCTCAGATTGAGTCCCCATAGAATTTCCTTCCCCAAGGCACACGTGCACCATCACCACAGTCCCCTGTGTTCCTCCCTCCCTCCTTTTGATCCCTCTCCCTCCTCCTCCCCTACAAGATGTCTCTGCTTTATAATTGTCTCTTTTTGCTTTGCTGTGTTTTGTACTGTTGTTATTCTTTTTATTGAACTGGACAGTCCGAAATGTAGTTCACAATGAGGAATGCAAAGAATTAAGAGACAAGAGATCCCCAAGTTTCTCTTGAGGAAATATTCTGAAACACTAGTTAAAGAAGAGCTAACCCTCCAGTTCATGATGAAAAGTAGCAGCAGCTTATACTTTCTGGTCTCTCACAATTTGAGTAAGTGAAGAAACACTGAATTAGCATTAACTTATATAGTCATACTTTTCAATTTTATATTTAAATATTTATTTTTAATAAGCATCAACTTTCATAAGAGAGATAAAATACGTTCCCTAAGCACAAAGCATTTTCAAAAAATACCCAATACATTTTAGAAAGGCAATAAAATGAATTTAAAAAAAGAATGGTTTTGTCCCATCACTGGTATTCAACAGCTAAGTGGTTTCTTGCCAAAGTTTTCTCAAAATAAGGACCAAAAAAAGGTAATAATTTCAAAACTAATTTCATTGTTTAACAACATTTCAATTAATCATTATACCACTGCTGAGATTATTTCTTGATCATTATCAGCTGAATCATTATCAGATATACATCTCTATTAGACTAAAGTGAATCAGTAGAAAAGAACCTCAAGGGCGATTTCATAAGACAGAATAAAATTCTCTCTGGTAGGACGTAGAGAAGGAAGGTATTTTAGATTCGCTAAGAAGCCTTACAAATGGAGAAGTGGGAAAAATTAACTTGGTTTGTAAAATTCTAGAGTAAAATGATCAGAGTAGGTATTTCAGTTGCTATTCCCTTCTTGTGGCAGCACAGAATTTGAATATGCACTCATAAGCAGGTGTAATCTTTTACTATACAGTATTTATATATTTATACTCAGAGAAATGTCATACCTCACTACAAGATGCAACTGCTCTGTGTAAAGGTGTCAACCATTTGCTGTCTTTGGCATTAACTCTAGCTCCTGCAACAAGAAGAAAAAAATAAATTGAAATATTTTGCATAAAATATTTTAAATAAATTTGAAGTTATATTTAGTCCAGATTGGATAAACAACAATTTAAAAAATAATACCTAATATTTATACTGCCTGCTAATAAATGACCCTTAATTCATATAACTATTCTTTTTAATTGATGTAATTATCCAATACGTTTTAGCTCTTTATTAAAATAAGCATTTTACATGGCTAGAAAAGCCACCTTTATACAGAGCACATCCAAAGTAAAATTCAGACCCCACTTTAAAATGTGTATTAAAAAACTCAAGTACTTAAAGTAAATGAATATAAGACTATTTAGACATAAATTTTTGACCACTGCAAAGCCTTCATTACATTTCTTTATAATAAATGTATCATGCTAAAAAGCTATACAAGATTATCAAAACAGTTATCCAGTGTTGATTAAAAACACATTAGCACCATCAAGTTATTGCATAAAATGTATAGAATGTTATAAACTTAGGGGAAAAAACTGAAAAGAAATGAACCAATCTATATGTCTTTGTGGGTTATACCTAATGATTTAAAGATGAGAAAAACACAACAAATCAACTACATACAGTTGTTTAAAAATCATTAAGTCAATGGAGAAAAATTATCCTTAACAAAATGGAAATACATTTAGTAAAAAAAGGCAGGAGCATTATGTTATGGGGGGACATAACACTTACATAAAATCCACTGATTTGATACTCAAGTTCTAAGCAAACAGAAGCAGCACACTGAAGGTTCCCTCTAAACAGAAATAGTCCTAGTTCTTAGAAGTGTTGAGAAACAGGTGACAAGTCCCAGACTCATGCAAAGTGAAGCTAGTGAGAAGGGCCTTTAGATATCTAGTCCAACCTCCTAATTTTCTAGATGCAGAGTAGTAGTATAGCAAGCCTAACATCAGCATCAACAACAGCAAAACCAAAGCAAGAATTCTGGTTGACATTCTATATTCTGAGTGTGAGGTTCCAGGGAATAATCATGTACAGTGATTCCAAGTAATGGCTCTAATAATTATTAGCTATAGGTCCCTAAATAGTTACATGATCCCTCTGAAGCTAAGTTTCTTCATCTATAGATCTCTTTTCTACCTTGTCACAAAGATTAACACATAATTAACATACCCAGTATATGAGCACAGATATGCTAGATAGACTTTTAAGTCTTGAACATGTGAGAAAATGAAGCAGAATGTCTACATTCCCTGCATCTGAAATGTTAACAGATTAGAAGGCTGGATCTCCAGAGAGAGTGAAGGAACAACAGAGAAATACTAGATTCCTTCATTTTCCCATTTATCTGCTTGGAACGCCAATGGCTCTTTATCACCCCTGTATTTCTTTGCATAGTTTTGAATTTATGTGCACCATAAAAGAGCAAGGTCTGGTATTAATGCCTAAAGAGTAGTGATACAGGTGCTTAGAAGAAACAAGAACCCTGAATTGAAAAATGCAGAGAATAATGAGGCCTGATAATGGGCCTTCAAGCAAACAGGAAGAGTTATTAGTTAATAACTTGAATCAGACTTCAAGGAAGTAGAATATGGCTGTCACACACACACAAAAAAAAGAGTATTTCTATGTGCTGATAAAAATCTGAGAAATAAAAAGTAAAAAGAGCAATATTATTAAGAAATATGTAATACTCTACTTTTATGTAGAAAAAGGAAGAGGTATATATCTATATTCATAGTGTTTTATAAACACAAGGAAATCATGGAGGAACACTATTAACAGTGGTTGCCTATGCATTTGTCGGCAGAGGCTAAACTGAGAATTGGGTAGTGAGGGGCTGAGTAAAAAGGCAACTTTTAGGGGAGGGATTGGGGTCAAAATAAGGGGGTTACAATTGTATGGGGAATATAAAAATAAAATTTATTATAAAAAAAATAAAGGGAGAGTGGGAGGAGCACAGGTGAATTGGTGAAGGAGATTCTATGGGGACACCTGAGGGTGGGGGAAACAAACTGTTTAAAAATGAACAATGATGTAAAAAAATATATAAAAAATAAAGATTCCTCATGAATCGTTAAAAAAAAGGCAACTTTTATGATATGCAATGTATCTTTAAAAACATATTTTTAACTGTTTTAAATAACTGAAATATTGCCTTATCAAAAAATGAAATGTATTTAAGAGGAAATAAAAGCAGTGGTTATCAGAAGTGTTCAAAGAATTTGTCTTCTAGTACAAAGAAAAAATTGTAACAACTAGAAGATGGTAAATATGTTTTGTCTTTCTTTTGGATGTGGGTAATGAGATATATAACTGAAGGAAGAAATTCTAGTTTTCATGGTGCATCTGGAAACCCAAAGTGAAAAAAAGCCTGTTGGCCTTCATTTTTCCACTTAAAGTTATGATAAGTTTTTTTTTTCCTTTGCTTTTAATAACAAAATTAAGTTAATTTCTCACAAAGCCTGAGGATGACAACAAAAAATACACTGATGACTGACTGAGGATATATCATATTGCTACTTGTTGCCAATAAACAGTTTGATTTTAAAAAAAATGGCTTCTTCTTTTCATTTTCTAAAGGTACTTAACCTGCAGGAAGATCAAGCAATGGGATTTTAGCCATTTAATCACAGTATTTCTCAGAAGATACTGACCTTTTGTTAAATTATGTGTCTTTCCTAATAGTACTAATTCCTTGGAAATTAAACACGAAGTATATGTGAAATGGTAGGGCCATATCAAAGGGTACCAACAAAACAAGTTATCTTCTTTGCCCACATTGGTTAAATTATTATACACTGTACATACTAGCAAGCATATATGGCCTAGCCATGTATGTTACAAGAGTAGTAGATGGTTGTAAAATAAGTGTTGTAAGAACAAACATGGCAGCACACTTCTGATGTCCAAACTCCCTAAAGCTCAACTCATATGAACCTCCCCTCGAAGGTAACCAGACTTCTACATAGAGTGCTCCAAACAGCTATATATACACATATACACAAATTACAAAGTCATGCAAATAATGGCAAGACATTTCCAAAATAAAATTAACTACAACAACTGAAAACTAGCCATAAAGGCTAACAATGAAGATGAAAAAAAAGGACAATTATGTCATGTCCACTTAAACATAAATGTCTTTGTATAGAGAAAACCAAATGACATTGTCACATGCTCCATACATGGCAGAGTATGATGTTTTTGTTTAATGATGATCTAAGCCACCAAAAAAGATTAATTTCTTTACGATTTCCTAGTTTCTTTTTTAAAACAAAAGAATACAAAATAGCAGTCCCATCTCAATTCTTGAAGTTAGGTTACCAGGAGACCTTATGGTAGGAGAAAGAACTGCTTAAAAAACTGAAGACAATGGAGATAGCAATTTAAGGATGATGTCATCAGTTACAGTTGCAAAGTGACACTTATAGAAAGTTTCTTTACTTGACTTTCCATGCCCCCCCCCAAATCTATAACTATCAGCTACTTTCCCTTAAATAAGCAGTCAGAATTTGTATTGCCAATATCTGAATATGGATTAGACTTTTCAGAGCACAGTGTAATTTTATTTCTGATATATTAAAAACAATGTAAAGACAAGCAAAAACCACCTTAGGGTCACCTAAATAGGTTGTATCCATTTGATTCCACAGTTAGACTCTATAGAAAAATCCAGATAACTAGTCCTCTCTCACCCATTTTTTACAATTTAATAATTCATTCATGAAAAAATATATTATGAAATGATAGGCTTTTAAAAAATGTTATATAAGGTAAGATTTCTGGAAAGAGATAAATGTCTAGCTCATTTGAAGCTAAACCAGAAGGCAACTGAAAGAAATAATCCGATTTACTTACATCAGTCTATTCTGGGATCCAAATAGCACGGATTTGTGCAGATAGTCAGGGGTCAATGGAAGAAACCCAGAAGAGGACCGATGATCTAACAATGGCTCTACCAATTAGGCTGAGTGATCTAAGGCTGTTCCCCAGAGCCCAGATCTTCATTTAGTTAATCATAATTTCTGCCTCCTATGCTGTGTGAATATACTGGAGAGGGGATAGGAAGCAAGAGAGAATGGGCCCTAAGGTAAAACCACTTTGGAAGTACCACAAAGTTTCCATAAAGTGAGCCCCACAGTCAGGCATTCAACTCAAGCGTAACCCATTTGACTCTAGATCTCATTCTGCAGTATGATCAGTTCATCAGTTTTCTCCCTACTCTAATCAGTCGCCAAGATGTGTCAATTCTTTGATTTTTGAACCTTAGTTACCAGTTAGTAAGGACTGTGCTAAATGATCTCTATGATCCATTTCCAGTTATAAAATCTTATCCTATTTTGAAATACTTGGAATAAATTATTTCATATTTACTAAATACCATGTCCTATTTTAACATCAAACAGATAATATCTTCATAATCTATGACAGGGGTCTCCAAATTACAGCCCAAAGGTTGCCAGTCATATATTTTGTAAATAAAATTTTATCACAACATAGCTACACCAAATTCACTTAAGTATTAAATATGTGGCTTTCACATTAAAAAGTAGAGCTGAGTTGTTGTCAAAGTGCTTTTATGGTCCTTAGAAAGTCTGTCAACCTCTGAATAAGTCTAAGTACTTGAGGACAGAATATTAATTTCTATTTTCATGTGTGTTTGTAATAGTTATAAATAATCCCACTAATAAATCTATGAACAGAGGATAGTTTTCTTCTCTGTTCCTAAGTTAGAATGAGCTGGGCCAGGGGTCGAATACCTCCATCACTCTTCCCAAATTGAAAATTATGCTTTTGGCTGCTTACCAAAGGCAATGGCAAAAACTTCTGATTGTGCTTTCAGGTTAGAAGTAGAATAAGCAAAAAAGCAATTACAATTTCAGTTTCCACTTGTAATGCTGGGGAGGATATAAAACAGCTGCTGCATTGTCTCTTTTAAGAGGGTGTTAGAACAACAGATACTGTGCACTGAATTGTCTCCCCCACATCCCATATTGAAAAGTGCTAACCTCAGTCCCC